TGTTATACCATCTTCGTCTTCGTATGGTTTCCCCACTTCACACATCTCTTTTTTGACATTGACAACAACACTTTGACTGTTTGTTTGAGTTGGTGAATTTAACTTCACATCTGCCATCGCCATTAAACCTTTTGAAACACTTACGCTTCTATTTTTCGGAAATGACATTTTACTTAGAATTAAAAAGATGGACGTATTTTGAGTATCTCTTCGAATTGAAGCAGAACAAAGTTTACACACACAAACAATACAAGTTCATTGACAGAATAGTTCTTTATACAAACAATGGAAAATGTTATAGAATAGCAGTCTTTGCTGAACCAAAATATTTCCATAAAGCAAAGAAAGTTGGTATAACTGAAATGGTGAAAGTTCTTGAAGCAGACAAAAATATAACTTCAAAACTTACAGATATTACTAAAGGTAAGTTTATAATACAATATTATGTCAAAACTGGCGTACTGTCAATATTTGACGGAGAGAAGTCAGTTCAAGAACAACTTACTGACCTGCTGCCAAAAATCTGCTCGATGGAAGCTGTCGTTATGCCAATCTGAGGAGCCCCAGCAGGTTTCATCGAACGAATCTTCAAAAGAGCATCTTCCGTGAAAAGTGCTATTGGTTTTGTAAACTTCTTTGCTTTCAATTCATCTGGACCGTCTCTGTCACCAGTATATTGTATTTGAACTGTACCAACAGTTGAAAATACCACCCATAAAGTCTTCTGAGTCAGCAAATGGAATACCAAGCCAAAAGTTTGAACGGTCTCCATTTGTATATTGAGTTTTTTGACCCTCCTGTATGAGTCCATACTTTCACATATGGCATAATAGAACTTTGCATTTCAGGGTTAATGGTTGTTGTGAAGTTGTTGTTAAAGTTCATAGCATCTAATGTCAAGTTGTATGACCTCATATCCTCAACTGTAGAATATTCTTCTCTTGGATAATATTTGCCATCTATGTTTATATGATATTTAATACCGGGGTTGTAGAAACAAGAATAGTCATTTATAGTTCGTTCTGAACAGTACAAACATAGTATCTGCATGTTTCATTGCAGTTGTTAAAGCAATATCTGTTCTTGCACCTGGGTCAGCACTTTGTTTCCAACTTCACCTGCAAAGTCTTTGACAGATATTTGGTGTATAGGGAACATAAGTGGAACTGCATATATTTGGCAGCTAAAGCATTTGAAATATCTGGGTCCAACATATAGACTGCAAGTCTGCTTTCTATTCTCTTGCATTCAAATTTTTCGCATGTGAACTTAACTGGGTCCCAAGCATCTCCAGCAGCATTGAAATAATAGTTTACTTCAGTGTTGAGGTTTGAGAAACCAAGTCTAAGTCAACTTTGTTTTTGCAAAAGTCGGCGAATGACATTTTATTTGTTCCCACTACTTCTGTAAGAGTGAATGGGTCTTGTGTTGGTGCAATGACTAAGTTATTTTTGCTTGGGGTGAGTTCGATAGAAATTTTTCCTGCCCAGTTTGGCAAGTATCTTAAAAACCTGAAGATGAGGAAAGATGACAAAGGAACTCTAAGTTTCAGTTTACTTTGGTTACTGCTGCTGCAGTTTGTCCAGAAAGGTTAACATAAACTCCTGGAACGTTAGGGTCAAGTCTTCTTATTTTCTCAATAGTTGCATACTGGTCTGTTTGTTCTCTAGCTTGTGGTTGTACTGAGTTTCTCAAAGCGAACCATTCATAGTTTGCCCATGTTTACTGTTTGAACTAAGTCAGAGTTAGAATATATCTTATATCCCATGAAAACTTCTGGAGCATATTGGTATCCGACATAGAAAATTCCATTGCAACCTTTCTTGTCAGACAACTTGGCAGAAGGTTTTATTTCAATGTCTTGTTCCACGTATAAGAATGAGTTGTCAATAGAAATTATATGAAACCTGTCGCAAGCAATATCTACTGTTGTTGAAGAACCTTCTCCAAACTCACCTACATTTCCATAAGAAACAGCAGTTGTATATTCGTAAGTTCCAGGAACTATTTCTGACCTTCTAATGGCATTGTCGCATTCGTTATACCATTCGGAAACATTTCCATTCATGGCATCCAAAACTGTTGGCGTTATATTCTGAGCGGCGTACATTTCATATGGGTAAAATATAGAATAGTTGGGTTTATATGTCATAATAGAACCCACGTGGACCAAGCTTTACTTTCTTCCTGACTGAGTTTTTAACTCTTCTTTTTCCTTCATTGCCCTCTGCTTGAAGTTGTTGCATCTTTGCATTATGTTCATCTAGTATGTTGCAAATTTCCCATGTCCCTTTTTGCCTTTTGGCTCTGGTCGCCCATCTCAGGTAACCTATACCTAGAAAGATTTTGTCATAGTTTGTATTTGAGTCTTCGCTTATTGTTTGCATGACTCTTTCCTGAGTTTCCGGTTCAAGCTCTTCAAACAGTGCTGTCCATATGGAATATGCTCGTTTCCAAATATATGTTTTTGTAGCCATTCTGGTTTTCTTTCCATGTTACCAACAATATCTTTTGTGAATGGGAAAGCTTTTACCCAATCTTTCAGTCTTGCGTCGTTTATTTCTGTAGTTGGTTTTATTTTGTCAAGGAACATGTTTTTCAATACTAACATTCATTTTGGTACTGTCCATTTGAGTTTTCTTAAATATTCATCCCTTCTCAGTTCATCGTCTGCAAGTAAGTTTTTATGACATTTTGTAAACTTTCGTTTGCAAGTCATGTACAATAGGTTCTCTTCCTTTCCCTCCAACTTTCTTTCTAAACTCTTCACCAAATATACCATCTCTATGGTTCTGTGTAGTTCTTTGAGATAAATGTTCTAGAACGTCAGGTGTTATATTTCCATCAGCCATGTTCATTTCATACTGGTCCAAATATCTGCATGTTTCATATCTTTCAATGGCATTAAAGCCGCGCTTAAAATACCAGCTATATCTGGTTCACTTGACTTCCATTGCGTCTACAACTTCTTGGAATTGTGGTTGTAAGTTTATGAACCACCTATCCGGGTTAGCTTTATGACCCCATCTCATTGTAGTTCCATCGTCTGCAGAAAAAAAGTAGGTTTGTTTCCATCTTGGTTAGGTTCTGAATGAACTTTAAACAATGTTTCATTTCTATATGTTTTCTTGAAATTTAACCTTTTATCTTCACCGAGTTCATCGAAGATTGGAACGTTAAATGCTCGTAAGTAAAAAGGGTTGTTGTATTTGTGTACATTTTCTTTCAGTACTTTCATTCTATGCTGAATATTTTCATCTGGTGTTGGAGTCTTTTGTATGTCGGCAAACATTTTTCGATATTCTTCTACTATGTCAGCCGAATCTTTCTTAGACTCTTGGAAAGATTCCATATTCACCTCATGCTCTTGTTGAGGGTCAAGATTTTTCGGCTGTTCCAAATCTTCATCTAGTTCTGTGAAGTTAGTTTCCAAAGGAGGGACTTGTTCGTTTCTTCAGGCTCTTCTAGCTGTTGTTGCTGAACTATTTCTTCCATGTCTGGTTGTATCTGAACTATTTTTCCTGTGGAGTTTCTTGTACCTCATCTGCTGGCATTTCATATATTCCGAGACCGTTTTTAACAATTTCCCTATCTACGTCATCCGCATTCATAAGCTTTTGTTCTTTTCGTTCCGTCTCTATTTTTTACGCGTTTCATGACGAAAGTTGAATTGTCATTTAGCTCTGACATCAAATATCTCGGAGTAAATTCATCCATGTCATTTGGATGATATGCTATTAATCATATCCCTTAGCGAGCTTGTATTTTCCAGGTTTGAGATTATATCCGTTTTGGTGCTGAGCCATAAAGCTAAATAGGTTCGGGTCAGTATTTCCATCCTTGAACTTTCCAATAGCTTCTTTATATCTGTCACTAAAGTCAACAGTATCTGGGAAACCACACTCTTCTTTAAGCATTTTTAAGAATTCTTGGTTTCCTTGTTCTCTACTTCTTTTATGTCTTGCTCTGTTTGTGGTTGTTGTTGTGCAGGGTTTTGAACTGTTGGTTGCTGTTGCTGGTTGTTGTGTTGGTTGTTGTGCTGGTTGTGGAGGTGGTTGTTGTGCTGGTTGTTGTGTTGGTTGTTGTGTTGGTTTTGGTGCATGCCTGTGTCTGTGTCCATGTGACGATGTAAATGTTTTAGGTAGTCCTGGTGCAGGTGCTTCTCTTGGAGGGTTTGGTGGTATATAAGTTCCACCAGCTGGCACATATGTTCCATCTGCAGCGTAATGTCCTACCTGACTTTTCGTTTTTAAGAAAGCATTTACTAGGTCTGTTTTGGTCTGTTGTAACTCTTTTTCTTGACTTTTCACAACAGTTGCTCTAACGGCGTCATAGGCACTTTGAACTGCCTGTCTCGTTGCTGCATCTGTTATTTTCGTCATATTTTGTGCTACTCTTTTAACTCTTTGTCGAAACCTTCAGACTTCAGTTTCTTTCCAGATGAGAAGTCGTTCACTTGTTTCACCTTACTATGAAGAGCTTCGAAGGCGTTTTTAAAGTCAGCATTTGTTAAAGTTTCATTTGAACTGTCTTCATCCGCTTGTATTTTTGTCCTTATTGACCCTATGAGTTGGGCTGCTTTAGCGTTGGCTTGGGCATCTAACCAGTCATTGTTAGCTTTTATATATTCTGCGCTTTTCATTGCCTTTTGCATGGCTGCGTCGTTATTTTTACTTTCTTGTGCTAAGTTTTCATACTGTACGGTTTGGTTTGCAACTGTAAAAGTTTTTCTGCCTTTACAGTTGCTTCAACTTCTTTTTTATACTCATCGCTATCCATATATGTCTTCAGGGCTTTTTGTTTTATTTCTTCATCTTTCAGTACTTTATATCGAGTAGTATGGTTTTTCAAATTTATAACATCTTGTTCCATTTTTGCTACTTCTGCTGCTTTTTCTGACACTTTTTTTCGCATATTCCTCTGTACTTCTTTCAGTTGTTCTTCTTTCTTCTTTTTCTCTACGTTTAACTCATTGAGTTTCTTTGTGTGTCTGTCATATTCTAGTTTCTTTTCGTTTCACTTATTTGTTTCTGTATGTCTATGTTTGACTTTTTGACATCTGTTATTTGATTTTTGAGTGAACTCAAATTCATTTGACTTTGAGGGTTATAAGCTGTTCCGTCTGCAGCTCCACCATAGCCTGCCATTTTCGCTAAAAGTGCCGCTCTTAAACCTCCACTCTGTGCACCAATAACTCGGTTTAAAAGCATAGGGTTGCTTGACATTTGTTGCAACATAGTGGGGTCATTCATAATTTGTTGTTGCAACTGTTGTTGTGGTGTCAGTTTTACTATTGGATGTTTCAATGCTCCCTTCCTCTTACGTATATTCTTACGTAGCTTACGTGGCATTTTAAGTGAAGTTAAAAAGCGGTTTTTGACAGATGTTTATTGTGACTTCTTCGTAAAGACTTTATTGTGACTTCTTCGTAAAGACTTTGTTGAGACTTCATTTATACTAAACATCTTCGGGGGCTAGAAGGCACGAAGTGCCTGGAAGCCATCCCCCAAGAAAAAAAAACTTCATTATACTCATTCATCCTCAGGGCTAGAAGGCACGAAGTGCCTGGAAGCCCCACTACCTTTTTTTTTTTTTTTTTTTTTTAATAAGTTTAAACAGATCTACTATTGGCCAACATAAATGTTTCATCATTTAAATTCATGATTAATGAGTTATTGTTGATTGCGAACAGGAATTCAAATAAATTTGAGTGGATAATTGGCCATATCATTTTCAATAAAAAATGGAAACTGCATCCATGAGAAAAGTATTTACTGTCTGTGCAAAAGTTGCCAAACCAATCGTTGTTGGACAAGATGAAATAAATGGCCGTCGTCAACTCATTCCAATTATTGAAGGAACATTAGAAGGTTCAAATTTGCATGGTGTTATATTACCAGGAGGTGTTGACAGCCAAGTTATCCGTCCTAATGGAATTTGCGAACTCTCTGCTAGATATGGCATTAAATTAGACGATGGATCTTCAATTTACATCGAAAACAATGGAATTAGGACTGTTTCTGATGAGTACGTAGAAAAAGTAAAGAATGGCGAGTTCATTGATCCAAATCTTTACTACTTTTGCACAAAACCAGAATTTGAAGTTTACGGTGAATCCGTTCAATGGCTTAAGAAGCAGATGTTCATTTGCAAGGCCACAAGATTACCAGATCAAGTCTTGTTAAATTACTATGTTGTTGATAAATAAAAATATAAATTTAATATAATTTATTTTACATTTTTAATAAAGACTAACTATATTTTGGCGTTATGAGATTTGAGAAATACGATAATTATTGTTATAAACATGAAATACAAAATATATAACTATTTATTCAAACAAATTCGGATATTCTTGTGGATCAGCAAGAGAGTCAGCCACTTTTTGGTTGATTGCATTCTCTTTCCATAGCTTAAAACATTCATTCACCATTTCAGGAACAGCAGATCTCGCTAAAAGAGTTGCTTCTGCGTATAATTTGCTTTGTATCAAGATCTCAACAGCTCTCCTTTTATCATTAATCAGCATTGCACAAGTAAAAGCAACATTTAATTGTCCTTTCGAAGAAGACAAGTCAATTAGCTCTCTAACGCCATCAGCATCACCTCTGCCTTTATATAACAATAATAATGTTGAATAATCATGGCAATTTTTCAGTGATTCAACAGCAATTTCATAATTTCCTTGTTCCAAAGCCATCCTTGCGACTTTCTTATACTGAGTTTCGTCAGAAGCATTATTATTTGCTTCAGTTAAGTCATTTAATTCGACTGCAATGTCAAATCTTGACTGTTTATCGTTTGCAACTGACAAAGCAAGCTTTCTTTGGCCAATTTGGCGCATTACTCTTGCTTCCTTTGCTCTAAAGTTGTCAGGAATGCTATCAGCTTTCTCTGTCGCTTCTTCAATTAAATTATCAGAAACTAATAATTCAAAATCGAGGAGAGAAAGGGGTAAACATATACTTGTCAGGTTACCAAGATGATCAGATACTATCAAAACGTTTTCTTTCTGAAGGTAACCGAGAATCTTATTTTGTTTCAACATTTTCGAGTGAACAGTATATATTCCAAGGACACATCTGTACAAGAACGTTTCATTCGTGAACAGAAGAACTCCATTAGCGAAACAGATGGACGTAGAAGCAGTTTCATACGTAAAAAGAATCGAAAAACTGTCACTGTAACCTGTTTGTTCGGATTCCAACAGAGAATAGTCACTGTTAAAGGACAAAACAAATATAGTGTCTTTTGTTCTGATGGCTATTTTCCTTTGGCCATCCCAGATGACGTCTTCAGCTTCGATTTCGATTTTTCGGATAATTTCGTTTGATTTCCAATCATAGAAAGTCAAAGATGAAGAATTTTGGATACCTAACAAATATCCACCAAATATATTTGTCGCGTAGCTGTTTTTGATCAATTTTGGCTCGTCATTTCCGAGATGAATTTCGACATCTCCGTTTTCCGTCAAAACCGCAAAATCTGTACTATTTGATGACCATGCGACCATTTTGCCATTACCATAAGCCTTATTTCGGAATCCAAGCGTTGAATAAATTACATATTCTCCACTTCCGCAAATATAAACGAATTTACCGTTTGGAGAGTGTTTCATATATTCAGGTTGGAAGTCTGTTGTCAACGCATCTTTGTAAACTAATTGTAATTCCGAATTATCAGATAAATTTTGTAATTCTTTCAGATTTGCAGTGACAATTTCACTTGTATGGCTTACTATGATCTTTCCTGAGCTATCTAATGACATTGGAATGCCATCCATCGTAAATTTGTAAACAGATAAACCATCATCGCATCCAATTGCGAAAAATGGTAAATTATTTGAGAAAGCAAGTGACCACATGCGTTTGTAGTTTGATAATATCGTGTTTTCTTTCTTGTATGTTGATGATGACCATGCAATTGCTTTAGAATCTTCAGAAACAGAAATTAAAATTGGTCGTGTAGGGTGTAATTCGACTCTAGAAACGTTATTTTCGTGTTCTTCGAGTTTAGTAACTACTGATCTTGACTGTATATCAACAATATAGATGTTATGATCATCTGTACTCGCTGCAAATTGAGATTTTTCTCTAACTGAGGCAAATGATATGCAATTCACGCATAATGAGCATACCTTTAGAGTAAACATTGGTGTTGTACTACTAGTTTCCCAAAATATTACTGTGCCGTCATAGGAACAAGATGCAAAATTTGTTGGCTCGCGTAAACTCCATTTTACATCGATTACTAGCTTTGAATGGGCCGAAAACACTCGAACTAACTTGCATTTTTCGTTTGAAATGTCCCATAACTTGACTAATTTGTCATCTCCGCATGAAAGAATTAAGTTTTCTGATGGATGAACAGCAATAGAACGAACAGGTCCAACTGCTGCATTCTCTACTGTATTTAGTAATTTGTTTTTCCCGAATGAATAAAATACAAGTGAACTTCTGTCGCCGCCTACAACGAAATTACCTGTTTTATGTATCCATCTGCATGTTCTTAATGCAGATCCTTCATGAACTGTATATGATTTCACGATATTTCCTGCTAATGTATCAACAACTATCGCAGTTCCGCTGAATAAAGCTGCAAGAAGTAGCTGATTACTCTCGTGAAAGTCAATACATTTAACTCGTGCTGTAGGTAAACCGAATAAATATTCAGACCTACTCAAGCACATTCAAAAAATATAAAAATATGACTCAGTAAACTCTTCACAATAAATAATATTGATATATTGAAGCTAGATAATTCAAAAATTAAATCTCATGTTTCGAACTTTGCAAATTTAAATTGATATATCTTTGAAATATGAGTTGATAGCGATAAATACTATAAGTTATGCATTAATGTTATTCAATTTGATGATTAGTATACTAGAAAAAAGAAATAAAGAAAATAATTTTAATATATCATAGATTTATTAGAAAAGTATAGACTCAATTAGAGTGTTTTCAATCATTATGAACTAATCTAATCAAAGATCTTAAACTTCTTCGTTTTCTTGTGGTGGAACAGGTTTTGTATCGCGAGTAATTTCTCCAGCGAACGGTTTGTTCTTTAATTGTGAGAAATCGATCTTGGTCTGAGTCGGACATAATGTTGGTTTGAGGAGAAATGCGATAACATAAATAAAAAGTAGTGCAAAGAAGGATCCGAGTAATATATATCCAATAACTGAAATATCATCAAACATTATATTGCATTTGCATGGAATTGTAGAGTTATTTAGTAAATCTTCGACTGAGCAGGTTGTAGTGTTTGAAAGCACGTTTGTAGCAGCGAATTTCAATGATAACTGCGATTTGTTAAGATTTTCGACTCTGAAAAAGAAGGGAACGTTAGTTGTGAATAAACATTTCTTTGCGAAGGGGCAAGTTATCTTTGGCTCATCTGGTAATAATGATTCGTGATATTCTGATTTTGTTAAGTTGTTACTTGAGAGCAAAAGAGTATCTGCTTTAGCTTCATTAAAATTATTTTGGAAGAAGAAGCAATATGATGTGTTAGGTTCGGTAAGATTCAACTGTGTTCCGAGTGAATTGCTTGTCTGAATAAAGTAGTTATTATTCTTGCAGAATTTTTGACTAATAATCCAGAATTTAATCGTTACTAAGCTCTTAACTTTAACAACATAATGGTCTTGGCTAATTATCCAAATTGATTGATTTGTTGGGGGCTGTAAAGTATCCTTTCCTTGTACAATGTCAAATTTCGAAATTTGATCTAAGTAAAAAACAGCATTTTTATCTAAAGTATCGACATTAAATGATTCGCCCTTTTTGAAATTCAATGCGTAATAACCTGGTGACGCAAATGTTGTTTCTGAAGTAAGGAAAATGAAATAAGAAAACATAAGAAAAAACGACTTTTTTGAGAATCTGAAATTCAATGATATGTCTCACATCAATAGGCTAAATAATTAATTGTAGTTTTTTGACTTGAAAAAAAATTATTTCACAAATTCAAATGTAAACAAATTTCATATGATATTTGTTCCTAAATGGGTATTGTAGAGATATCTTCAAACTAATAATGTTTCAAATAAAAATTTAAGATGATTTTTTTGAAAAACAACAGAAATAAACAAAAATTTATTAAAACAATTGCATGGCAGAGTAGTCTGACCATGGATCTGCCTGTGGATTTGGATCCTGTGAAGGAGATTGAGCTGGAGTTACTGTGGTCGATGAAAGAGGTTTAAAGAAAAATGGATCAAAGCGTAACTGTTCGTAAGGAATTGGTAGACCACAAATAGGGCATACCCAGCTGTCATCTAATTGTGCGAGTAAAAATTCTCTTAAATCGAAACATTGGCCATGCTGGCAGTTTACGCCACGGCCAGGGCATGTAATAGGGACCATAGAGAATGGGCATACAAAAGATATCTCACTTTTCGGGATAGGATTAGCTGGTGGCCTTGATTTGATGATTTCTTCTATTACTTCGTTAACATCTCTTGGCATATTATTGATGATAAGTGTATTTGGATTTTGTTGCTTGGGATGGTCCGAGTAATTCACAAACATGAAGTGTTGCGAAGTTTGATCTAATTGTGCACCATAGCCACCAACTTGAGGCGATGAAGCATAGGCAGATGGAACGCTCTGTGGAGAAAAATGAGGGGATTGTTGTTGCGGTGTTGGTTGTGAGGTCTTTTTTGCAGGAATTTTCGATAAAATGTCTGTGGGAACATTAAAAAGCCTTGCTTGTCTTTGTAATGCTTGCTTTTTCTTTGTGCCGATTTGACGTCCTTGTCCTCCGATAGGAGCATCGCTCGAATCAAAACTTTGCATTGAATTTCTAAATTTGTCACTTTTTATTCTCCATATTAAAATTTCATTTCGATTCGGACAGTTACAAAATTGTAAAGCGATATTCTGATCAGATAACTATATGAATGTTTATTCTGATTCTAGCATATATCTAACGCATATTCTATAATATAAAGGGTGAACGGATACCTGATCACGTTTGCAGACATATATTTTAATTGAAAGGTTTACATGTCACCTTCCGGCAAATGCCGGTCAATTTGTCTCAATATTGACAGAAATGATATCTTCTTCAATTGTTACGCTTCTTATGAGCCATTAATTCATTCCAAGAATTACCCAGATGATAAAAGCTTTTAAATTTCATCGAATAAATTATCATTAGATGTGATGCATCGCCATAATAATGTTGACTCACTTAATTTACTTTTTTATGCATTTACAACACAAATAAATCATATTTTGCTGCATTTAGCTCATTTAGAAGAGAAGAAAAATAAAATTATTAAATATGAAACATTCAATATCATTGCTCAACTGCATTGATATACAAAGGAATTAATTATCTTTTGGCAACGCTGCTGTTGTTTTTATTGCCTCTGTACGAGTTAGAAAAAAAAATCAATTATTTCCACCAGGAAAAATTAATTGTTTACTTCAAAATGCTTTGAAGAAATTAAATTTAGAAGTCGAAATCGAAAGAGAACGGTCCGATTTCAATTGCCTCTTCTTCCTCATGATGCTCTTCTGCCTTCTTGTCTTTGCCACTTGTTTCAGCTGTATTTGCAAGGTTTGCAAGAGCTTCAGGATCTGCAAGAAGTTTCTGCAATGTTTCAATTTGTCTCATCTCATGGTTGATTGAGATGGCAATTGAAGCAATGTCAGTAAATGCAGAGCGAATCATGTGTGGTGTAGAAGCTACGCAAGGATAGTGCATTCCCAATGCGACGCATGTGACATTGCAAAGTCCTTCTGTAAACTTCTGGGCGAGGTAATCGTCTGAAATTGAGAGGAAGCTTGGATCGTACATTGAACCATTGTCGTAAAGAGCTTCGATCTTGAGAGTGTAGTTGAATGGCAAGATTCCGAGCATTCCAAGAATGTTTGCTTCAGAGGCTCCGACCTTTTGGCCTTCCCAAATGAGCTGCTTCTCACCTGTGATCTCGATTGTTCCTTTGAAAACCTTGCATTGAATGTTGAGAGCATGGAGAACCTTGATATCAGTTGGGGAGATTGATGTGCGCTGTGGTTTGATAAAGACATCGCAAGGAGCAATTGATCCTGGCTTTGCGGCTGAACCAAGGCAATTTGCATCGATGACTTCTTTGATTGCCTTGAATGAACCGTTTGTGAAGATAAGTCCAGCACCATTTGAAAGATTCTTTTCAAGTTCGGTGATGCTTGGAATTTCATCTTTGAGTTCATCAACAGCGCGTCTCATCAATGAGTTCTTACCGAAAAGAACTTCAGCAAAGCCAGAAACACCGGCTCTGATCTTCATGAGCTGATTTGATGTAACATTTTGGGCTGTGACAACAGCAACTTTATGGTATTTGCGGAACAAACCATGAAGCTTCTTGATGTATTCGGCCTTCTTTTGATGTGCAGGCTTGTCGAATTGCATTTTTAATTATGATTTTGGATAAATTTCCTCGAATTTTCAAATTTTCATAAATTTTGAATAGTCCCAAATTTCCCCTCAAATCAAAATTGATAAAAAGGTTATAATTGAATATAGTTATATTATGCGGTTGTATTTAGGTATTATAATTTTGTAAAATTTGGTTGATAGGATTTTTGACCATTCAAATTTGATTTAATTCAAAAAATTCAATGCATTATACGACTATATCTCTAAATTTCTATTCATCAGGACGGTATATAATTGTAACTAAAAGAGATATTTTTAGCACATTTGATTCAATTTGATTCAATTGAATTGTAATCAATAATCTATCTCAATATTTATTATGAAATATTATATAACGTTAAAGTTTTCTAATTCCGTATATCTGTATTCAATATGGATGGCGCTTATATTTCAATTGTTCTATGAAAATTTCGCTATGAATAATATATTATTTTTGGTTTCAATATATTTATCTCCATTTAACCTCCTAGAACTGAATCATTTTGCTACAATTCAGCTGATATCTTCTCTTTGAAAATATTAAAAATATTTGATTTAGATTGTTCTTTTATCCTGAAAGAATTTCTTCTTCTATAAGTGTATTCAAATGAACGAATTATGCATAATTTCCTGATGATTTGATGTACGTTTATTAATCAAATTTTACAAAAATATTCTCTGATATTCTCTGATTGCATTTCAGAGCAGCCAAAGTAATATTGAATCTAATATTCACGCGATCCTATTTGAATTATTTTATTCCATTTGATAAAAAATGAATTTTTTGGACTTTAACAGCAGGATACAAATATTTAACATCTTAAACAACTATATTGATTACGTAGTAAGTTGTCAAAATATTCATTTTTTATCTTGACAACATCTAAAACTTATATATCCAAAACTAAGGGAGAAGAGCTTATTTATCAAAAGAAGGAGGCCCCTGTTCAAAAAGTATATGCACCTAAAACAGAAGAAATGATACTTTCAAGCATTCAGAATAATCCAACACTAAACCTAACAGTTCCTATCGAGAAAAAGATAAAACTTAGTTTTGGACTTGAACAGAAATTTGAAACATTAAATAGTTTAGACAAAGATCTATTAGTTGCAACTCAAAATTTACGTTTAGCAAAAAAATTGTTAGAAACGCGTAAACAGCATCAAAGTCAAAATACTAAGCAGTATATGAAGCGCATACAAGATCTTTCAAATGAAATTAAATCAGATCGAAAAGCTTATAAATTAAATAAGAACAACAAGTTACAAGAAAAGGAATCATCTCTTAAAAATGTCCGAGACGAACATCATAAACTTGTTGGTTATATTGAAACTCAAATTGAGAGACAAATTCGCTACAGAAAATTCGAATGGCTTCCAGATACTGATGTTTTTAATGATCAAATAGATGCCCTCCTCGATGTTCTAAACTACTCTCGTGAAAAGTTAGAGAAAGATAAAAGTTCTAAAGTCAGAACAATCGGAAAAGTTCTCTCAGCAACACAAAGAACTGCGGAATCTCTAAAAGTCGAACTTACTGCCATGGATACTAAGTACAGAAGGGAAATTGGCGAGTTAACTAAGCGTATTGAACAGATATCGCAGGAGAATGAACAAATCAATATGAAAAATGCAAATGAAGAAAAAAGAATTAATGAATTTCAGGAAAGAAGAATTGCAGAAGAAAAATCACTTTGTGATGAATTAACAAATCTATACAAGTCATTTGTCAGCACCCAAAACGAACGATTGCAAGTTGCAAAGTCAAAATGCGAGATTATGAAAAGAATAGCAAAAGAAACTGGTGATGAACTCATAAATCTCAAAACTCAACTAGAAGATCTCAGAAAGGTCGTTATTCCGCCAACAATTGAAAGAGATCATGTAGATGAAATTGCAATCAAAGCAAAAATGAGGGTTGACAAAATTATTCTTCAGCATTTGAAAGAAGAAAATGAAAGACTTCAGAGAGATTATGACATCTCCATATCTGGAATGAAATCTGATCAATGATTATAATATTTTATGTTATGTTAATATAAATAAATTATTTGTTTGTATTTTGTATTTTGTATTTAATAGCGATATTTGCTTGCTTGAAGTCTATTGGCACCTAATTAATAAATCAAAATAAATTTTAAATGTTACTTCAATTCAGATGAGAGCCAAGACCTTATTGTCTCAAAACACAAACTTGCCCTATAGATAATTATATCAATATCAAATAAGGAACCGAAAGGATTCCAAAGAAGGGGATTGGTATGAATTTCTAATGGTATAATGACTTTTCTTGCTTGCACTAGGCTTAGTTATCCTATGGTTCCTTCGATGAAGAAAATGCTCACTTATTCGTCTAAAATTTCTTCAGTTTCTTTCAAATACGATCACCCTAAGAAACCGTTTCAATGAAATTATGCAGTAATTAGAGCATCTGATTAAAGCCGAATAAAAAGGTAAAATCATAGAAAAAAAATTAATTGGAAGGACGATAAAGCAATTCCGATCAAATGCTTGCACTCACATCTCGCAATTTTGCTGTCACAGCTGCTACACTTTTCAAGCCACTCGATGACCGTGTTCTCGTTAAGCGTGTTGACAGACCAAACAAGACAGCTTCTGGAATTATCATCCCAGATGCTCTCAAGGGAAAGCACAACGAAGCTACAGTTATTGCTGTTGGTCCAGGCCACCGTGAGAAAGATGGCACAATCACACCAATGACACTTCAGGTTGGCGATCGCGTTGTTCTTGCTGATTGGTCAGGTAGCGAAGTCAAGCTCGATGGCAAGGAGTTCATTGTTTACCGCGAAGATGATATTCTCGCAGTCCTTGAGTAAATTATTCATACAAAAAAAAATCTTAAATAAAATATACAATATTACTTTAAATTCAACTCATATTTACCAACTCCAAAAATAAAAAATCGAAATACTTATAGTTTTTCTCAGTGAAACTTAAAATTATTCTGAAAATATTTTTTATTTTGGTAGAAGTGACCATTTCATAAAAATATTGAATTAGTTAAATATCTCTATTATCAATATTTTATTCTTACTTTAAAATAAATATAAATTAAGTTCATTCAAGTTCAAATAATTTCAATTTCTCTGGAAGAGCCTCTCTATTGAAATGGAGAAGGTTGACATCGAAAATTCTTGCGCTATCATCAAGTTCCTCGAGAGTTGCTCTTGGATCCCATTTCCTCTTCATTTTGGCATCATTTAAGTCGGCGGATCTAACAGCAGCAGAAGAGTTCAATGTAGCAATGATCTGTGCGACTTCTCTGAGTTTTTCGTTCCTATGATGGGCCAATTCTGAAAGTTCCCAGTATTTAGCAGCAGGACCATTGCAGAAGTCAGGGTCTGCACCGTAGATGTTGAAATCACCTTCAGCTTCGAAATCAAAGTCAATTGCGGAGGTTAATTCAAGATGTGGAGTTAATAACTTCCTCAATGTGACTAAAATGGTTGTAGCGATATCAGAAGGTGCGTGCAATGCCATAATCATCAGGCGCTTGGCAAATGATGCTGTACGGGCTGTATCAATTTGTTCCGAAATTATGTCGAACAAAGCGAGGAATTCGAGTGTAGAATCGCGATCATCGAGAGCTTCGTATGCTCTGTTGTATACTTCTGTGAAGAATCCGCGTAAATCGACATTATATTCGCATTGTTTGCAGAGAACGAGAGCTGTGTGAGCAGCAGTGATTGCTGAGCGTAGGGAGAATCTGTTTTGCTTTAAAGCAGAGACAATGGCCGATACGAAGTCTTTGTCAATGAATAATACGTCTTTTCTGATGATTTCCATTGCTGCGATGAAGTGGACCTCGGATTTTGTCTCCTTAAGGAAGCGGAAGACTGTACCAAAGAGCTGTTCGAGGATATGTGTTTGTGTCATCTCAGGAGAATTATCATCTGGAACAATATCGGCTTCACGGAGCTCTTTGATAAGGTCTTTGTCTGTAATCTTTTCTTTCTTCTCTTTCTCCTTCTCTGCTTGTGTCTTTTGTGGGAAAGATCTGAGTTTGATGTGTTCTAGAGTTTGGAGAAGCTCAATTGAGATTTCTGGTGATGGAGTAGCAGCGATCTTTGTGACAATAGCAAGAGTGTTGTGTCCATTTGGATCGTTCTCGAAGAAATGAGTAAGATTTTCGCAAATAACTTGGCGAACTTCTTCATGGTTTGAGCAAGCAAGCTTAACCATTGTTGTAACAAGTTGTCTGCCTGTGTTGAAGCCTGGTTTATTGACATAAATCTCAGCAAGAGCTTTTGCAGCAAGTTTTCTTGTGTTGTTTGATGATTTCTTGCTGAAAGCAAGCTTTTCACAGATTTGAATGAATTGGCGTGCTGTTTCGAGAAGTGTTGCTTCGTATAAACGACGTTTTTTGACTTCTTGTGATGGATTATCTTTTTCATTGTGTTTTTCAACGATGTATGGTGGTAAAATGTCGACAAATACTTTGGCTAAAGAGAGAATTGCAATCTTTTGGACTGTTTTGAGTTCATAATTCTTGCAATATGTCATTAAAGTGTTGATATTCTCTTTAACATTATATCCTTCCTTCTGTGTGAGTTCAAGGCAAATGTGGGCAATTTCGTTGCGAATTGCATTTGTTTTTTGCTCCTTAGTTGACATTGGAATGAAAGACACTTTTGGACGAGATTTTGTAAACTTTTCAAATTCTCAGATACATAAAATCTGGAGCACAAATCATATGAAAACCTGACTTTACCTACGACTAAATGGAGTTGATTAAGCTATAGAGGATGTCTACTAAGTTACACATGAATTATTTTCTTATTGTGATATATTCATTTGGATATCAACTACTAATGAATTTTAATTGAGCAAATCACTAGTAAATCCCGTGTATTTCATACGCAACGTGTTTTGCCATAAGCTGACTCTGAACAAGAGTCAAATAGAAAATCGTTTATGCAGTTTCTAATATAAAATTGATTGGTTAAGGATGTGACACCATAGGACATCACTCTTTTCCAATATCATTACCTGAAATTCATACTCGATATGAAATCATAATTCAAATGTTGGATTGAATAAAGAAGTATATGCTTCTTTTCTTAAGCTGATGGAAAAAGAAATGATTGGATTTGAGTAAGTTTCTAACAGAAATTCAATGTTTATTAAAAAGAATAAGCAATAGTAACAGCTTAGAAACCGTAGAGTGTCTTGCCCTGGCGCTTAAGAGCATAGACTACATCCATAGCTGTAACTGTTTTACGACGAGCATGTTCTGTGTATGTAACTGAGTCACGAATGACGTTCTCAAGGAAGTGACGAAGGACGCCACGAACTTCTTCGTAGATATCACCAGAGATACGTTTGACACCACCACGACGTGCGAGACGACGGATAGCTGGCTTTGTGATACCCTGGATGTTCTCACGCATTACTTTACGATGGCGCTTAGCACCACCCTTACCGAGACCCTTACCACCTTTGCCACGGCCGGACATTTGGTATTATAAATTATGGCATGTGACGGTTGGCGGGGAACACTTATCTATTGAATTTTTTATTCCCTGAAAATTGAATAACCCTATAAAATTTATCATTCAATTTTTGTTGGTATAAAATGGCATATTTATATTAAAATTGGATATTATTGAAGGACAGAGTACGCTTTTGGTATTTGATTATTAGTTTCTTATTTTCATATGTTGCTCAAATAAAAGAAATTTGCACATGAATATCGTATTTGAGAATCATCTTGTCGAATTGCATGCTCATTTCTATGAAAAAGCGTGGTGTAATTAAAATAATAATACATAACAAAATATTTATTTGAAATTAAACAAATCTAATTGGTGATTCCAAGTATTGAGAAGTAATTCTTTGGCAAATACTGTATTCTCACTTCTCCAAACATATGTTTCTGATTGCATAGCCCATATTAAGTCAGTTAAAGTTAGTCTCTCATTGAACAAAGACTTTGTATAGTTATAATCAAAATTATTAAAGTTATAATCATAATAAGTTGGTTTGTAATAGCTATTCTGTTGCTTATTAGCAAGTTTTCTTCTTGAATATTCTATTGATTCTTTCTTCTCGCATATTTTTGTGATGAGATTTGAAATCTCATGTTGTTTCATACATAAACCTTTAGGATTTGGTGCTTTAGAACTTGGAAGTTGTGATAACTCTCTACTCTGCTTAATCTTTCCGCTTATCTTTTTCTGATTAAAACTTAAATCATTGATTTTTTGATAAACATCTTGTATTTGCTGGACAAGACATTTATTCTCACGTTTTATTCTTCTTACTGCACTGTAAAGTACGTCTGTTTTCGTTTCAGGTTCAGGATTTCGAGATGAAACTAAAGAAATGAAGTTTCTGTTCAATCTTTGTTCCTCAATTTCAGCTCCTTTTATCCTATTCGTTAATGCATCGAGAGTATCTTGCAAAGCAACAACACGCGCTGTTTGTGAATCTTCACGAGATTCGTTTACAAGGCGAAGTCTTTGTAGTTCTATCTCATTTGTTGCAATCTGGTCCATGTTAGCACGGCAACATTCGATTTTGACGTCAGTTGACCTTAATCTTTGTGCAATTCGTGATTCCATGTTTGCCATTTCATCAAGGGACATTTGGGCTTGGCGAATTGAATTGTTTACATCAAAGAGAGCAGTTTTTATCTCCGAAATTGTTGCAACTTTGATAGATCTGATTTTTACAACATTATCTAGAAATCTGTTGTGATCTTCTTTGATTTTATCTATTTGGGAATTGATATTCTTGATATTAGCTCTCAATGCATCTGAATTTGCCTTCTCTCGAAGGATATTTGATCTCATTATTTTTTCATCTGAATTTTTCTCAGATATTGATTTAATTATACCTGTCATTGAATCTTTAATCGACTTGATTTGGTTCTGCAAAGATATTCTTTGTGTTTTTGGATCAAATTCGTTTTCATTTTTCTTATTAATCGAATTTGTAAGTGAGTTTACATTTTCTTGATATTTATTGATTAAATTATTACGTTTTTCTTTTAGATTTTCTATTTTATAAGAGAGTTTTGTATTTTCTGCTGTATTTTGAGCATCTTTTAATTTAAAATCAGATAAAGTAGCTTGTACTTGTGAAATTTCAAGTTCTAGGTCAGATATCTTTTTCTTATTTTCGCTTATTTCTATTATTGCGTGTTGTTGCATATCTTCAAATTCTTGATGTTCTTCGCTTGCTTTTGTAATGCTTTTCGAATGTTCTGTGCCTGTCTTTGATACGTTATTCACATTTTGTGTTAATTCTACTATGTTTTGATCAAAATCTTTCTTTTGTTTTTCAATAAATTTTAAATTAAGTGTAATTTCTTGTTGTCTATTCATAAGTTTGTTTAATATCTCTTCTAGTTCATTAATTTGATTATCAAGCTCTGTATTTGCATGGTTATTTTCAGAATAAAATTTATCTTGCTCCTTTCTCAAATTACTCTGCTTTAAAAGAGCCTTATCTGCATATTCAGCGAGTCTTTTCTCCCACTCATCGACTCTTTTATACATTTGATTAATTGATTCTGCAGTAATTTGAATATTCGCTTCTCTTGCATTTACATTTTGTGTAGTTTCACGTAGTGCAGTTCGTGAACTTTTAATTGCTTCTTTAATTTCACGATCGTCATTATTAAGTTTTGGCGGGGAGCCGAAAATATCATTCATAAAAATTTCCCTAAACGTGCGAGAATTTTATATCCATATCATTTCAGATGGAACATTTAAGTGAAACGCTTGCATGATAGAGAGACAGAAGAAATATTTTTTCTCGATTCTTTTAAATTCTTCAATATTATTCAGAATCAAAAAAAAAATTAGACTATCCAATCCATCTAAAGAAATATTCAAAATCTCTTGCATATGTAATGTATAGTCATAGTAATTTCAATGATTGATATATATCATTAAAAAAATATATCAATATTGGGTAATATTGCATATCACAAACTATTATTGAAAGTTCACCACAGCTTGAGTAAAAGTGATCTGTATGATAACTCCACAGAAAAATGTATTTCATGAAAGAAAAAATTATCATTTGGTAATTCAATATATATTGAAATTTATGAGTTTATGCTTCAATGTTCATTAATAACATATTAAGCATCAGAGTTCTGCTACGGTGGAAATTGGCCTGTCGTTTTTTTGAAGGCCATCCAACCAAACAACCAAATCGATGAAAATGATGAGAAATCGGCATTCAAGATTAAGTTAGTTGTAAGTATATTTCTTTCAAAGACCGAGGTTCCAATATATTGAATATTGAGTCATCAACAAAAGGTATTCAAAGGGTTACCGATCTATAAACTATTGAAATTTTTCAATTTTTATTCAAATAATTTCAATGATTATAATTTCATAAAGATTTAAAGTTTGAATGTCTTCTTTCTTTAGAAAAGAGTTGCTTTATGCATCTATTGTATGCCTAATGCCTTTAGGATTTGGATTTCTCATTGCATATCCTTCTCCAGCAGCTGAATATATTCGAAAAAATTGGAGTAAAACACCTGATCAATGGAAATTATTTGTTGCAATAACACTATTGACTGCAGCAATCGGTCCATATATTCCATCTTTATTGTTTAAGGTAGGTTTAGGAAGAAGATTAGTTACATCAATTGTTAATATTATAAGTATCATTTTGTGGTTAATTCTCAGTTTCATGACAGAAAAATTGTTTTGGATGGGTTTTGTTATCCGAATTCTTCAAGGTCTCATGCTTGGCGCAATGTCATCAATTGGTCCTCTTTTATTACTTGAAGTTTCACCATTGGATCAAACAGGCATTTATGGTACATTCAATCAAACTTTTGTTGTTATTGGAGCGATTATTAACTTCCTTATTGGTGAATATTTTCCTCCATATGCAATGTGCATTACATCAATAATTGGTCATGTTCTTCAACTCTTTTTAATATGGATTATCCCTGTCACAGCATTTAAAGAACAAAAGCAAGAAGAGAAAAATAAAATTTCTGAATCAATTTTCCAAAAGAAGTATGCTTGGTTGCTTTTCGTTCTAATATTGATTATGATCATTCAGCAGTTTTCAGGCATAAATGCAATTATTGCTGATTTATCTGGTATCTTTGCTAGAGCAAATATCAAAAATCTTCGACTAGGAGATCAATCAGCAATTGCTACAACTGCACAACTATTTGCATGTTTTTGTTCCGGTCCATTGGTTAAATGTCTAGGAAGGAAGGCGATGTGGACTATATCCTGTTTGTTGTGTGCTTCTTCTCTCATTTGTTTCGGTTTCAATTCGAAATTTAATTGGACAAATATTCTTCCTGTGATTTTGATTTTCTTATATCAATTTGGATTTGGATTAGGACTTGCTCCTTTACCTTGGTTTTCTTCTGTTGAGATGTTTCCTATTGAAGTACGACCTATGGTTTCATCAATCAATGGAATGGTTTCTTGGGTATTTTCCTTTGTTATTGTATATGCGTCACCTGCAATGCAGGACTCTAAAATGGGAGAGTTTGGTCTATTTCTATTCTATGGAATAACAACATTATTAGGAACTGTCTTTGGATATTTCTTTATTGTTGAACCTGCTAATAATGTGTTAGACAACTCTGATGATCCTATGAGTGAACTCTAAACTATATTAGAATGTTAATTGAATAAATATCTGAATATCGAATGTTTTAAAGGTCAATTTTGCGAAGACTATCTAATAAGAAGACTAAAAGCAAGATTCATTAAGAGTTAGATTTGACTGTAAGCTTTGAGAATTCCAAGTGCATGGCTAAATCATTCAAAAGTTATGTCACAAATTTCCAAATAAGATGAAATTGAATTAGCACACTTTGAGCTAATGGATGTTGGTATTCTGATGTCCAAGAATATAAGCTATTAAAATGTTTATGTGATACGAATTGTTCACAAAATTGAGATGGAAATGGCTAGAGTATGTGATATTAAAGAGCAATACTTAAGCAAGTATATAATGAAATATAGAATGAATGATGAAAAGTTCAAATTTGTCAACATAAACGTTTTCATTCAGATTTCAATGCAAAGCGGAATTTGATAACTTTTGAGAATGAGTCAATAAAAGAGCAATTGTTTTCGCAGTATTGTAATGCATTATTGGAGTCCGATTTTATGAAAATATGTTGAGGCTAAATTGTAAGCTTTTGAATTCCCGACTAGTTTCATAAACATCATAATCAAGAATGAGCTTCTTCTTCAGAACGGAGCTTTATTATGCTGCGATTGTTTGCATTACTCCATTTTGCATTGGTCTAATTATTGGCTATCCATCTCCTGCAGCTGCTTACTTTAAACAGCACTGGAATGGATTTCCAAGTCAATGGAAGTTGTTTGTAGCAATTACACAGTTGACAGCAGCGATTTGACCGTATATTCCATCACTACTCTTTAAGCTTGGTTTAAGTAGAAGGTTGGTTTCTTCTATAGTCAATATTTCAAGCATTATTTTATGGGTCATTCTTATCTTCATGACCGAAAAATTGTTTTGGATGGGCTTCGTTATCCGAATTCTTCAAGGTTTCATGCTTGGTACTATGTCATCTATTAGCCCTCTTTTATTACTTGAAGTTGCTCCAATTGAACAAACTGGTTTATATGGAATTTTCAATCAAATTTGTATTGTGATTGGAAATATTGTCAACTTCATAATTGGTGAATATCAAAAGCCATATGTAATGTGCATTTTCTCAGCTGTAGTTCATGCATTGCAGCTTTGTTTAATTTGGTTAATTCTTGCTTATACTTTCAAAGAACATAAAAATGATCAAGATGATCAACCAAAGGAATCAATATTCCAGAAGCAATATATATGACCCTTGATTGTGCTCATGATTATAATGTTTACCCAGCAATTTTTCGGAATTAATGCAATTATTGCAGATTTAGCTGGAATTTTTGCCAAAGCAGATATCAAAGGTCAAAGACCCGTATACAGTCTGTTTTCGCTACACTTGCCCAACTTATTGCTTGTTTCGTTTCTGGAGGTTTAATCAAAACTTTAGGAAGGAAAGCAATGTGGACAATATCAGGATTAACATGTGCTCCATCTTTGATATGCTTTGGGTTCAACTCAAAGTACAATTGGGCTCATGCTCTTCCTGTAATTTTAATTTTCTTGTACCAATTTGGTTTCGGACTTGGACTTTTACCGATGCCATGGTATTCTTCTCCTGAAATGTTCCCACTCTCAGTTCGTCCAATGGCTTCTTCGATTAACGGAATGGCATCTTGTTTCTTTTCCTTCATTATTATTTATGCATCTCCTGCAATTCAGGAATCAAAAATAGGAGAACTGGGATAATACTTGTTTTACGGAATCATTTCCTTGGTTGGAACTACTTTCGGCTTCTGATTTATAATAGAACCTGTTGATGAAGAGACATTAGATAACAAATCTGATGACATGTAAAGCAATTTCACTTATGATATAGTTTTTCATTAATATAAATAAAGAGTTAGTAAATATTCTTATCACGCTAGATGTAAAGACAAGGAAATTAATCAATTGAAATCTCGTTAAATATTTTCTGACGAAATAATGAGCGTGATCAAATAGATAGTCCTCAACAAATAGTTTATTGTATAAAAGTGAAGAACCATTTGTCAAAGGCTAAATTTCTGAGGTATAAAATCAGATATTTTGATTCAATTTTTTGGTATGATTTTTCCTGATAAATAATGATGCTCTCCTGATAAAAACAGTGTCGTAGTTTTTACAAATTGAGACATTTACGTTAAGGGTGCACCCGTATGTACGTTTATTTGAGAGGAGGATTACCCTCTCAATTTTGAGGGATTCGTTAGTTTATTTTCTCGATGAATATGCAATAAAATTTGATTTTTACCTTATCAATATACTTCATATAATATACACATGTTCATGTAAAAACTTTTTTCCAAAATCCTCAGGAATTAAGGGATTTTTGAATTTTAAGAATTTTTTTCGAATTTTTTCGAAAAAAAAAATATTTTCAGAACAGCCTTAACGGCTAAGATTTAGGAACAATGTTAAGTATCAAAAAGAAAGGAGGTCTGATATAGACAACATATATCGTTGAAGGTTGAAAAAATCTCTAATATTTGAGCCCAAAATTTCAAATTTTAATTTTTTGAAAAAAGAGGCCACCCGTATGTACGTTTATTTGAGAGGAGGATTATATTTTTGAAAGGGTGAAACATTATGAATATGTTAATTATATAATAATATGTATTATTATAAAAAAGAAAAAATAAAGCACGTGAAAATTTTTCTTTCTTGATTTTTTACAAAATCTACTTAGAATTATGCAAAATATGACTAAATAATTAAAATTTCAAGTTAAATTTTAATTTTGATAAATAATTTAAATTTCAAAATATCAAGTTCAGTTCGACTATGTATGTAGTAATTCCTCAATAAAGTGCCAAACCTATTAAAATATATGAACATTTTCAAAATTTTAATGTTTTTATTTAAAAATTTGTTGGAATATGAGCTTCAAACAATTATTATGTAAATAAAAATAATTAAATATATGTATTTATTCGTATTACAACCGTAGTAAGTCGATTCTTCCTTTCTTCTACTGAGTTTTGAATTTGATTTCGAATTGTAAAGAGATTCAAAGGGAAAATACTAGCGGATAAAAACTACCTCCATGAAAGGGTCATAATGGAGTCAAGTTGTATTTTTTGATATTTTTTGCTTTTCGAGCCTAAATAGGTAGCCAAGATAATGCCTAAAAATAAGGTTCTAAATTCTGAAGTTTACATGATCCTCTCGTGTGCACCCTTAAAATTGAATTTTGACGTCAAAATTGTCAAATTTCGAAAATAAATTGAAATTGAATTTTTTGTGAAGAAGAATTCATTTCGAAATCAACCAGCTTGTGCTCTCATGGGAAATTATTTTAGAATAGAACTTGTGTATGCTGGAATCATCTGTTTACTACATATAGGCTTTGGACTTGTTATTGGCTATCCTTCGCCAGCAACTATATATAAAAAGGAATTGGAGCAAGATTCCTGAGCATTGGGGATTGTTTGTAGCAATTACTCAGCTTACCGCAGCAATGGGTCCATACATTCCCGCTATATTGTTCAAATTCGGACTTGGGAGAAGACCTGTTACAGCACTCATTGACATTGCAAGTGCAATTCTATGGGTTGTACTCATTTTCATGACAGAAAAACTCTTTTGGTTGGGTTTCGTCGTACGTGTTTTACAAGGTTTCGTACTTGGTGCTATGGCAGGTATTGGTCCACTTCTACTCCTTGAAATTAGTCCAATTGATCAAACAGGCTTATATGGCACATTCAATCAGATATTTGCTGTAATTGGAGCAATTTTCATGTTCTTGATCGGAGAATATCAAAAGCCATACGTCATGTGCATCTTTTCAGTATGTGTACATGTGTTACAACTCTTCCTAATTTGGGTAATCCCTGCTGAAGCATTCAAAGAACGTAAAGTTGAACAAGATGATAAACCAAAGGAGTCAATATGCCAGAAGAAGTATATATGGCCTTTCATTATACTTTTTGTACTAATGCTCTGTCAGCAATTTTCCGGAATCAATGCGATTGTATCTGATTTGGCCGGAATTTTTGAGAGAGCAGGTATTAAAGGCATAAGACCTGGTGTGCAAGCTGTCATTGCTACATTAGCCCAGATTTTGGCTTGCTGCGTTTCTGGAGTTTTAATCAAAACTTTAGGAAGGAGAGCGATGTTTACAATATCAGGCATTATGTGTGCAGCTACATTGATAACATTTGGTTGCAACAATAAGTTCAATTGGAACGATGTTCTTCCGGTCATTTTAATTTTCTTGTATGGATTTGCTTATGGACTTGGACTTGGCCCTATACCATGGTACTCATCTCCTGAAATGTTTGATCCTTCAATCAGACCAATCGCTGCTTCCATCAACGGCATGGCTTCTCGAATCTTTTGTTTCGTTATTGTTTATATTTCTCCTGCAATTCAAAAGTCTAAGATTGGAATGCCTGGTTTGATGATCTTTTACGGAATAATTTCCTTCCTTGGAGGTATATTCGGCTTCTTCTTCGTAAGAGAGCCTGTTGTACCAACAGATATATCAGAAGATCCCAAGTCTGATTATGATTCAATATAACATATCTATCTATTGTTATTGTTATTATTAAAACAAGCCAATTTATCAATATATTTCCCTTTGGTTCAAGATTATTTATTAATTTCTAGTTCTAAATCCAATTGAGGTTCGTTGAGAATACTATATGCATGTATTAGCTTGAGATCTTATAATTCTATTTTCTAAAGGAAAGCAAACTAATTCCCTTGTGACATTTGTTCAGCTTGTCATGATCAATATCTGACAGATTTTCATTATATAGCAATACATTAAAAATAATTGTAGTTTTGAAGCATGTGCTACTTCTATAAAAATTACAAAATTTAAAAATTCAGTATTGAAATCATGAGAGCATATTCAAAACCAATTTCTGAAGTCTGTTATATGGTAAACAATGATTTTTCAATAACTCAAAATAAATAATAACAAATTTAGTGAAATTCAAAGTCTTTATAATAAATAAAAGGTAACATAAGATAATACGTATAGATCAGTTTAACTTTTATCTATACAAAAAAAATAAAAAAAGAATAATTTCTAAATTAACATTATAATTTAGTCTCTCTACAAAAAATAACTCTATTAATGCAAGTAAAAACAAGGAAAATCAATAACAATAATAATTTCAATCGCCAAGGAAAGGATTGTACCTGACAATCGCGTATTTGCTGCTCTGCATGTCATCGTTTATGAAGAGCGTGGAATCAGCAATTCCATCCTTTGAAGCAATACCAAATACTTGGAGTTCATCGGAATTTTCATTATAAAAAGGTGACAAAGCATTGTATTCATCAGAAATTACTCCCAGAGCTGCAGAAGAGTTTCTGATATCATACGCGCATATGCTTTGGTCTGCAGTTGATACCAATGCGTAATGTTCCGTTAGACAAATTCCGTTTATTGACTTGAAATTAGTTAATAAACTCAATGTCGGAGTTGGGGTACGAATATCCCACAGTTTGCAGCTCTTATCTTCACTAGCGGTCATCATAATGTCGTTGTATGACTTAATGAAGACGATCGGCTCAGTATGTCCGATGAAATATCTGATAACTTTTATGTCAACGGAGAAAAGTCGTAATGAAGGGCTTTGAGAGAAAGAAGTAACAATGCCTTTCGATAGATCGCATGAAAGAACGTGAATCGCGGAGATTCCCCACTTAGGATCTGCATTTGTTTCAAAACTCTCAAAAGTGCCATCGTTTTTGACCAAAAACAACGATGGAGACACAGCGAACCCACAAATCGCTGATGAGTCGGATGCCATGGCCAGAGAAGCAAGTCCGGAAGAAGATGGCATTAAAGTGATTTCTTTCGAGACTTCGTTCTTATCGAAGTCCGCAATAATGACAGAATCACATGACATTGCAAACGCGTATCTTTTGTTGCCAACAAGGTTCTCAAGATGACTACGAATTCCTAATTTGAGCATTTGCCACTTTTCTCCATTATTTGTGTAGCTAATGACTCTATCAGGAGATACAGTATCTGCATGTATGTACATGGTAATGTCATGACCAATATATGACGTATCAAAATTTCGAATTGTTGTAACTTGATGGGCACGAGGCTGCCAAACAGCTGATGCTGTTTCATGGAATGATGCATCTGGTTTTTTAGGGAATTTGACGGTTTTAAACATACGAACGTTGTCAAATGAATTTGAAACGTAGTTTTGATGCATTTGTTGGCAAATTGTATCGAAATTATTTGATGCTTGCATCATTTCAGAAAGAGAATCATTAACGTGGGCTAAAGAGTTCTCTAATTTTGTCATGAATTCTGTATTTGTAACCATCTGTGGTGCTGGTTTTTCAAGCCAGGTCGACTTCTTTGGCATAGCTGGTAGTGAAACTGAAGGCTGAGATGGAGGCACCTGTATCTGATTTTGTGGCATCTGGATTGGAACAGGATTTTGTGGAATTGGAGCTGGCGGTATGATCGGTTTTGGCTGGACATGTTGAATAAAATGAACCGCAGGTTGCATTATAGGTTGTTGTATAGGAACCGGCGGTGGAGCAATTGGTTCTTTAGGTGTGTTGTTTGTTTTGTCATTAAGAAAAAAAATTGCCTTATTATTATTGAACCAGAGTCTAACTGCACGCTTTGTCCAGTGCCCGGAGAATTTTTGAAGCTTTGCAGAAATCTCTGTTGCAAATGAGCTCCTTTCTGGGCTTCTTTCGGCATAGCCAAAATACTGGGCAATACCTCCGGTCAAAATATCAAGCTCTTGTTCAGTAGGGTAATATCTTTTAGATTCATTGCCCTCCATTCAATAATAAAAAAATATTGAAATTTTGTCAAATTGCAATTGGATTCTAAATGTCCTGCTGATAATAATTATAATATTTTTAAGGTTAAGATTTTACTCTGAATTTAATGAAAGGTGACAAAATTTACATTCAAATTTTAGCTAAAAGTGACATCTGGGTAACAGATATTGGATGGATGAATCAACAAATGTAAAGACCCCACCATCCAAAAAAGTTAAGATACGGCATACTAATAAGAGTAAGAAGAGTCTTCCAGAAACGAAAGTTGAATTTTCCCCGGAATTATTATCGACAAGCAAAGAACCGCCTAAAACACCAAAAACTGGAAAGAAGAAGCTTTGCACACCGAAGAAGATTGGTACTGATGATCCCAATCTTGATAAAGTACTCTTATTAGAACCAGCTCCATTATTAGTTGGCCAAATCGATGAACCAATAAAGAAAAAGTTAAAACTAAAGCCCAAAAAGGATTCTTCAAAAGATAAAAGTCAATTATTACCTACAAAGCGAAAGGTTACAAAACGATCAAAGCAAAAGGATAAAGAAGAACCAGTACAAGATACCAAGAAGAAAACAAAGCGTAGGGCTAAACGTAAGTTATCGCATAAACGTTCAACAGAAAGCCAAAGACCACAAATTATAATTAATGATGAAAAAGATGAAGATTTCTTGTTCGGACCTGACTTTTCAGCCAACAGATTACAAGATGCCAAATCAGTTATGCATATACATAAAGACAAACTTAATATCTCTGATTCTAAATCTGTAAAAGCACCAAAGAAGCATAAATCTAAAGGATCCGATCCACATATGCCAAATATTAATCCAGAAGCCCAAGAAGTCTTCAAAATGATTACAAAAAACTTAACTCCTGTTGTTTCATCTCAACCGATTATAGGAGTAGAAAAGCCAATTCCCCTACAAACGATAATGGATGACATAACAATTGATGAATCTAAAAATGCTTTTTCATCTCATAAGTCGAGAAGTAAGAGATTACATAAGAAACTCAGTTATGGAACAAGTGGAACCGTTAAGCCCGTCGAAGGATGGTTACCTTTTGGCATAGGAATCATTCAACCACCAGATGATGTCGAAATAGAGAAAAACGCAACACGAGACTACGATATTAGGAAACTTGTCCATGATATTAAGCATAACTAGATATATATTTATGAATTCAAACCATTTTTATGTTTGAATTTTTACTCAAATTTGTATTTGTATATTACATATTAGTATATAAATAAAGAAATTTGTTTTGATGTTCATGTGTAAATAAAATAGATATGTTTTTCGAGAGTTTACTGTCATTTGTATCAAGAATTCTGAAGAAGATATAAAATTGGACTTTCGGAGTTAGAATATATCTTGATTAGATCCTTATGAGCTAGTTTGAGCGAATGTATTTGATTTTTAATATTTCTTGTTATTTCCTTGTTTTGGATAGTGTGTGATATACTAAAATACCAATAATTTTGATTGTTTAATGTGAAGGGGGTGTGGCTCAGTGGTAGAGTGCGACTTTAGCATAGTTGAGGCCGGGGGTTCGATTCCCCCCATCTCCATTTTTGCTTTTATTTTTCTTCTTTCTACCTGAATCGTGTGCTTATTATTCATTTTATCCACTTTTGAGATAAAATTTTTGCAGTGTTTCTATTAGGAATTTAAATATTGGTGATTAGATGTTCTGAATTTTTAAAATGATAAAAATCAAAATTCAAATTTACAAAATATATCATAACAGATAACTAAATTAATCGATTTTTAATGATAACAATTAAAATTAAATAAAACAAACAAAAAAATCATACAATTATAATTATAACAAATAAAATTTTCATTTCAATCCTCTGCAAGCTTCTTCCAAGTCACGAGCAGCATGTATTACCTCATCAACATTACTAATCTGTTCATTAGACAGCTTAGATCTATCAACTTTTTCGAAGATCTGTTTAATTTCCGAAATTGCTTTTACAGTTTCTTCGACATCAGTCTTTCCATTGACCAATCTATTGCATGGCGAACTGTATACCTTTGTCACATCCACCAGCAAACCAGTTACAACGTGAGGAGCAGTAGTTCTTCCTCTAAATGCGAAATACCTTCCATCTTGTATTTGCAAATCGATTTCGAACGCGTGGCCCAAATCCATTGCATTTCTCATGCGTGTTGTGAACATAATCTTCGTGTTTTCATCATCCAGCTCGTTATCAACGAATCCCCAGTTCAATGTCAACAGTTTTGATTCGCCAATAATTAGTTTGTTTTGTGCAGTTTTGTCGTAAGAATCATTGAATCTCCAAACAGCGACTTGACCAACTTTGATGAGGAAAGACTTTAATTGGCATTGTTCGTGAACTCTTTGATATGTTTCTCTGTATTCTTCCAAATCAAAGAAAGCGCAAATCAAAGAAGAACCGTATTTAGCAACAGACAATCTTCCTTTTCTCAATATTGATCCTGGTCTTAGTATTTGAACAACTGCTGAATACGATGATATAACTCCATCTCTTACATCTTGTATTCTTTGTTCAATTTCGGGTGATGGATCTCTAAAGAACTTAGGGAAATAAGAGAAAGGAGTGTCTTTGTCAATACTCAGCGCGTCCCAAATTGTCGGCATTTCGAAAACAGAAACAACTTGGTCTGTCTCGATAACAACGCCCCAGATGGTGACAGTCGAAGGAGGATTGGAGAGAGCACGAAGAGGAATGGGAGGAATCAACGTGGAAAGGAAATCTCCTGCATCAAAAATAAATCCAATATCATGATTTCCGTAAACAATGAACCAATGGGCGAAACCATGGGAATCAATAAGCCGGATCGAACAATTGTCCGGTTTGTACTCGAACATGAAATTCTTGGACCTTTCTGGGTCAATTGAACTACTTAATAAAGTTTCAGGTATAAAGTAGCGCTGTTCTGAGCCATTAAGGTCCATAATGGATTGTACGCTATTGGCAATGAAATCTGAGCCATTGTGGGCTGGCATTTCCTTTCCAATTGCAAGTAATTTTTCGCGATCGTTTATGTGGACATGTTCTATGAATGGTTTGTCAGAGGATAAACCGTACTTCTTGAGAAACTCCTCGCCATCGAATAATTTTGGTGTTTCGCTGAGATCTAGTTTTGCATAATTTAATTGTCCGGAGAAAGCGTAAGTTGCGTTTAAGCCAGCGCTTACATCAGTGATCTGGCGATTTATTGGTTCGGTATTTTCTGCCAAAATGTTGATGGTTGCGCCATCATTTGAAGTAAACGTGTAAGCGACCTTGTTCTTGCCATGCCAGATGTTTAGTTCGCCTGGTTTTGATGTACTTGCGATTTCTCGAGCTTCTTGTTGAGTTAAAATTTCTGCGAAATCTGGAGAATTTTTCTCAAGACGTCCCTCGAGCTTGTAGTACTTGTAGATAGAGAAAACCTTCGACTTTGTCAGCATATCGATGAGACTTGTGTATTTCTGAGACGTTCTATGCAAAAGAGAGAGTTGATAAACAAATGTAGTACAAAGAGCGACAATTGGAAGTCCTACTTGTGAGAAATGCTCCATAAGAGGATTACTAAAGCAAAATACGATATGTAATTGCGTATCTGTTGAATTTGTCGAAGTTCTAAAAATTGATTTAATTCCTTCGATTTCGTTTGTTTCAAAGAACATGGAATTACTGTTTTTGTGTAGTACTGATCGTAATAAGTCGATATTGATGAGTGGCTCGTTGTTTATTGTGTGACATAAGAAAAGATTTTCGTATTTGTCCAAAAAGAAGGCCTGGTTAGCTCCAAGCATTGGCATGTATTTGTCGAGAATGATTTTGACGTTTTCCTCTGAAAATGGTGATGTTGTGATGAAATTATAACAATCTAAAAATATTGAAGTAATTATTGAGAATAAATGAGAGAGAGGATTCATAGGAGTGATGACACCAACAGGTAGTTCATAATAACCGCGTTGGCCTGTTGAAAGTTCGATTTTTATTCTTACGGGTCGAAATTCACGAAAAGTCTTCAAATGGACTTCAGAACTTTGTAATACAGACTGATCTGTTGATTCTAGATTCACTTCTATTGGAAGTTTCTCATCGCTTGGTAAAGAAAATTTTTCTTTCATTAAAATATTCATTACGCGTTCTGTTTTTGAATCTAATTTGAATGTAATGCATAAGTCGAAATTATAACTTGAAATACTACGTTCCATGCGAATAATTGAAACTTGTGAAGAATTTGTTTGAATTACGCGAGCTGTATCGTTTTTAATTATATCGACGCAATATGTATTCTTTCCTTCAAGAGATCCGACAATTGGTTTCAAATTCTTATCGCAGATATAAACATTATCTGGTAATTTTCGAATTGAGAAGAATTTATAGGCAAGAAATCCTATGATTAAGAATACAAATATTGTTATGATGGTGTCCTAGTTGAAATGAACTGGATATCTTATCTTGCAAGTGCCATAAGAATCAATACAGCTCAAATACGAATAAACATCGTAATTGACAGAAAAATTCTTAAGTATAGCAAATTTGGACTCGTTCAATGGTAAAAAGTGATAGTCAGGATGTTGAAATGATTTGTTTGTAATTAAATACGAAGTTTTCAAGCTTCCAAGTGTATACTTAAATCCATTATCGTCCAAAAATGAAGATATCTGAGCCGCTCCTTGAATAGTTGGATCTATACTGATGATATCATCATCGGAATTTGTTTTCCGGAAAATCGCGACATTTTCCAATGGTTGTTCAATTGAGCAGCAATAAATGACTGTCTTTTTTTGCTGGAGCTAAGCCTGACTCTAGAATAAGTGGCTTGCAAAAAAGCAAAAACGACAGAAGCATTCACAATTGTAAAAAATTTCAATCAAAAAAATGTTGCACCAATTTTTTGATTAAAAAAATGAATGATAATTCATAATAAATAATTATGTATCAACATTCCTATCGTTCATCGTAAATTCGGACCAAAGAATTTTGAATATCTCTGATGTCATTCTAGTATAGCTATCACACTGGATGTAGTTTAAAGGGATTTGAAAGATTCGATGAAATAGATTTCGATCAATTTTGAAGGAAACTCATTGTTTCATGCTTAATATGGCCATATATAGCTATTTTAGGATGTTTGTTTCTTCCAAGAAAATTTCGGAAATGAAAACTTCATTAGCAAGAATAAGAAAATTCTCCTGATTTTTTTGTTTTTCAAATTTTTTTGGAAATTTTTCATTTGACTTTTGAAATTTTAAAACGACAAAAATGTTACAAAATAGTAACTGAATATTATATCTAAGGGTTTCGTTTTGCTAAAATTGTCACTTTTATAGCATATTTGTTTTTGGATGTTTTGCGAAACCAAAAAAAAAACTATGATATACAATGTGTGTGTAAAGAAAATACTTTATTTACTAGTTAAAAAATCATTTGGTATTGATCAAGTTATTTTTTCTGGATAAGATATTATATGGATAATTAGATAGAAAATACAATTATATAATCTTGTACCTGGTTTAATTAAGCTAATTGTCATCAGAAACTTGTAATTTTTATGAATTTCAGATTTTCTTTTCATTACTGCTTTTCTTAATAGGTCAAGTTCTTATTTACGTTATAAAGTATGATATTTACAAATATCAAGTTATCATGTTTTTTGAGAAATTATGAGAAACAAACAAAAATGAAAAAGATAGGAATAGCAATGAATAGTGATGTGGGTATAGAAAATGTAAGAGATATGAAAGTACAGTATACATTGTGCGTCGCCTGTAGCCTACAGCTACAGTCACCGACACAATGAAAAAAGTGACAGAAAACTGACACCATACGGGCGCGCATATGTACGCATATATGTGTAAAAATAAACGTTCATATGTAAACTAACCTTTATTCACTAGCAGGAGCTTTGTTGTTCGCTTCCATTAAAATGTAAACTTTACGTGTCAAAAAAATTCTGTCACGTAAACTATTTATGTTGAGATTGAGTACCAGACTCTAATATAAGTTCAACCATTATATTAGAGTCTTTAGGAATTTCATATGGTTCTTTTACATAATATTCCTTTTTTTGACCATCAGTAGTTAGTATACAAGTCTTGGGTATGGTGGCACTGCGTTCCACTTTACCCAATACTTGTGAATTTGACACTTTACAAAACCGTTAACGTATATTTTACAACACAAACGACAACACTAACTTAACCTTAAATATTTACAAAACCCACCACCACTTCACTAACGAACTCACTAATGTAAAAATAAACGTTCTCACTATCGTTCTCACTAACAACTTCACTAATGTTCTCATAAATTTTCCTCAATATCTTCATCATCAGTGTTAACCCTATTGTAGTCATACTTGAAGCCATAAACTTTCTCTAACTTCTTAACGTACAATTTACATAACTTACCTTCGTCATCGTATGGTTTAATGATATAACTATTTCTATCTTTATAAACAGTCAATGAAAAGTCAACTGGTCTCGGATGTATTTGAAAGAACATGTTATGCTCAGGAAGGAAGAATAAATGTTTAAATGTATGTTTGTTATATGTTTTGATTTGTATGAGTTGCTTTTGTTCTGTCATTACATCCAAATAAAATAAAAATAAAATAAAAAATAAACTTAAAAATTAATGATATCACCACCCGCACACGTATGAAAACATAGCACAAAAATAATGTTTATGTTAGAATGTTAGATCTAACCCGATATCTAACCTCTTTTCTAACCTGTTGAATTCATTGCTTTATAACTCTCTTCCTTTCTCCAACTCTTCTAACTTCTTCTTAAGTTCAGCAATGTTGTCCTCATGAAGTTTAATCTTTCTCAAAATTCCTTCTCTATCTAATGGTTGCTTTATCTTTCTAAACTGAACTCTACCATCCTTCATAGTATGAACGTAAAAACCTTCTGGAATAATTCCTGATTTAATGTATTCTACCAAAAACTTTTGTTTCATTGCTTCAGTGACTTTAGTCGTCATTTCAATCAAATAAAAATGTTCAAATAAAATAAAAATAACGTTATTTTTTCAGTAAGGAAACGCAGGAGTTTTACGATTTATTTGAGGCGTAGGTTCTGGTTTAAATGTTGGAGTCGGTTTAGGAGTTGACTTTTGAACAGGAGTTTGTACTTCCATAGGTTCAGGAGTCATTGAAGGTTTTGCTTGTGAAGGCGTTGGTTTTGGCGAAGGTGTTGGAGTTTGTTTAACTTCAGCTACTTCAGTATTATTTATAACATTTGCTTTATTTCTTTTCAACATCATAACTGCTCCTGCTGTAGCTAGCAAACCTAGTGGGAGACCATATTTATATAAGGACTTGACCAAATGCTATTTTTGACAGGAGCTGGTGGAACACCTAACCTTGGTGAAACTGCTCTTTGCCATTGTGCAGCTCGTAAGAAATATTCAATAGGTGCTCCATAATCGTTTGGTAAAGTTTGTTTCACAGATGGTGAAGGTTCACGAGAGCTTGATGAAGAACTCATTTATAAGCTTTAAAAATAAACGTTCATCCTTTATTCCTCACTGTCGTCAGTTGCTAAGTTATAGTCGTCAAGTCTTATTATTGGTATGCCTGACTGTCTTACTTGTATTGCAAAGCAACAATCCCTCATAAATCCAATAAGTGGCTTTGGTACATTTTCAGTTGCTAGTTCAATAGGTCCTTTAACAGACAATTTGTATGTTATTGGAGCAGTAGATGTTTGACCTTGCTGGAAGCAAAAGTCCACTTCTGTTGGAAAACCACATAAGAAATGTGTGTTGTCATAGCTATCCCATTTATGTTCCACACTACCATCATCCACCAATGACCTCATAACATCTTCATTAAATCCTATCATATCATTGTTTGTATTGCAAGCGTTCGCAACCATTTCATAAAATACAGGTCCATATGATTTTTCAGGTTCTGCAGGCATATTTCCATAAGCTCCCATGGAAAGCTGAAGATATTTAAACTTAGGGTTCTCAAAATTAACATAATAGTTGTCTTTCTTTCTAAATAGTGCCCAAATACTTTTAACATTAATAGGCGTATAAGCTGCTGTAAATGTTGCACTTGAACTATCTGTATTCTTTGAGAATGAACCGTCCATAGGAATCCAATCCATAACTTTAACAGGAAAACATAAAGCCTCGTTTGTATAATGTTCTACAAGTTCTGTATAAATGTTAGGGTCTAAAGAGAATGACTTTGGATGAATGAAACATTCATTAAAATCCATCTTTGTTCGAAATAGTTGCTGGGTTACAGTTGTAATAGTAACTGTTCCACTAGCTTCTATTGCCTTCGTTATCATAGTGAATGGTTCATTCCATGGAACAAATTTATTTGTCGGTGGATTTGAATCTGAAGCAAATGCAACTTTAAGAGTTGGATTGAAAGCAATGATATCATTTACAGATATAGATGTGCATTGTAAGGCGTCGCTACTGAACTTTACTTTAAGCTGAATGTTTCCTGCAAAAGCTGGAATAAATCGAATAGCTTCTAATGGAAGGAATCTTCTAACAGGAATTCTTAAACGAAGCTTAAAATCAAATGATTTTCCTGCTGTAATTGGACCACTAACAATTTGTCCTGTTCTGCATGTTCCCGAATGACTCCATACATCTTCATGTCGAGTCTTTGAGAAAACATCTACTTTCTTTATTTGTTCGGTAGTTTGTGAGTTTGAAGTTATATATGCTTCTTCTCTTGCGTTGTCTTGAGAATATACGATACGACCATTTGCAAGGATTTGATATCCAGCAACTGCATAGAAAGCGTCATCGAAACCAATCCAAAATCCTGGTGGGTTTGTTTTATTGGAACCTGAACCAATTTCTTTATCTGCAATAAATTGACCTTCCATTTTATACGTAATGAATGTATTGTAAAGGTCCAACATATTTTCACCAGGAGGTGAGAGATTGAATGTTACCCATGTGTTATCTTTAGCAGTTCCAGGTTGTGATGGAATCTTTGCGTCAGAATATTTTCTATTAGTGTCACCAATTTGAACTGCATTGTCTATGATATCGAAATATGAGCGAATCTGATGAATATGCTCTGCTGGAGTAAATTCGTTTAGCTGTTCGTTCTGCATGTATTTACTTCAGATAAAAATATCTATTTACTTCATTATTCTCACTCTTCTTCTTGGTATTCGTGGTGGAAGTTGTTTCTTGACATTTTCAATGAACTGTACATTCTCTTTTGTCTCAACTTCTTTCACTGGCGGGTCAGGGTTCTTTGACTCGGTTTGTTTTTCAATGAAATTCACGAACTTTGCAATAAGCTCTTGGTTCGTTATTGAAAGTACATCTGGCTTCTTTTCTTCTGTTCTATTGACTTTTCAGTTTGAACAGAAGGTTTTATATGGGCTTCGTGGACTTCACCCTTGCCATGCACCTTAATGTTGTCGCTCTCTGCATTCGCTAATGGAACCTTTCTTTTTCTTACGTATATTTTACCATCTTTACTCTGACTTACGTAATAGAAAGGATGTTGTATTCCTCTTGCGTCATTTAATATAATAGACTCTCGCTCTGATTTTGACAAGCTCATTTTACATCGGTTAAAGTTTTAATTTAGTTTTTTATCTGCAGTCAAATGACTCAGACAAGCCCTACGGACAAGACCCAAGGTGTCATAGATGTTGAAGCATTGAAGAAAGAAATTCGCGAGCAAATTTTATCCGAACTGAAGGAACAAAAACAAGAACAAAAGCCAGAGAGACCAAAGAGAAAACTTAGTGAAAAACAACTAGCTGCATTAGCTGCTGGAAGACAGAAGAACCCACGTTTGCTGGCGAAAAAAGCTAGAGAAGAAGCAAAAGCTAAAGAAGCTGAAGCAAAGAAAGAGTAAATGGTTTATTTTTATCCGAATTAAATGTATAGACAAATACCTTTAACTGTTGCGTTCAGTAGTGAAAACCCTGACGTCAAAATAAAGGGGAACAGAGTAACGTTTAAGTTTCCAACAGACTGGATTGTGAACATAAATGAAGAGAAGTACATTGGCATAACATCTATGTATATAACACGTGCTTTCAGAAAGGTTGACTTTATACTTCAAGTCGAGATAGAAAATGACGAACAGTCTTTAAGCGCCCAAAACATTCACATATACAAATACTTTAAAGACGATACAACATTGCAACAATGTATGATTTCATTTAATGAGATGTTCGAGAAAAAGTTCAACATTGAAGTACAAACTTTACAGCCTTTACGTGAGTTTCTTGCACAACTGAAAGAAGAAGGTAGTCAGCCACAACTTATAGACTTTCATTATGAATTTAATGAAAATGAAGATGGAACTCATGACTGTCAATTCATTGTATTCTCACCATTCAATGAAGTCGCTAAAAAGAAAGAAAATCCATTACGTATAAGATTTCAAATCTCCGAACCAAGTGATGATTTTAAGAATGTTTTCAATTATGATGCAATGCTTCCGAGGAAAAATGAATTTTCAAAGATTGTAACACCTGGCATTTGGGATAGAAAGCAAGCAATACTTTACTCTAATATAGCCAAAGGCGTTGAAAATGAGTTCATTGGTCATACAAGAACTTCACCACTTCCTAACCCTAAATACTATAAATTAACTGGCTTCAATCGTGAGTTTTGGATAGACATGTACTCCACTCATGACCATAAATGTCCAGTGTTCTTGCCTCCAGATGGGAAGGACTGTCTCTACATTGAAGCACAACTCTTAAACTCTACCATCGCAGTATTGTAAAATCTACGCTAGCTTTATTTTTATCACGAATGACCTCATTGCTGACAAAAATAAATGACCTCAGAACTTCAACTTACGAATAAAGCTTGTTTTAGTCGTTATTGAAAAGTTGAACTTTTCAGCAAAGCAAGGTTGACATGACTTACATAAGTCGAATGCAATCTCTTGACCATCATGAAGTGCTTTGTAAAGTTTCATTAAACTGAACTCAGAGTCTTTGTCATATGTTCCAACAGGTATGTGAATGTTCTTATCTTCATTGTAATAGCATTGTATAGCTTCAGGAAACATTTCATTAGCGGTTAAAGCAATAACATCTTGCTTCACGCCTTTCATTCTGCAGTGAAATGCAACTTCATTTAAATCGTTAGTGAGTAAGTCTATGTAGGTCTTCTTTCCACAGAAAATACTTTTATAAGCTAAACTTTGTTTTCCAGGTGTTATTTCTGCAAAGTCGCTATGAAATTGACCAAGGTTCTTTCCTATAAGTTCGCGACCATATCTCTTCTTAAACTCTGCTGCAAGCTTTGGGATGTCTTCATTATATAAGTGCATACTGTCGGTATCCTGGTAAAAGATTTGAAGTCCCATGTCCTCTGCAGTACAGAATACTTCATTCATAATACGTTTTGACATAGACAGAATATTAACACCAAGTGGACAGAAGTTAAAGTGTCTGCAAATGCTTTTCGTTAGCTTGAAAATAGTTTTATCTGAACCATCCAAACCTTCGAACTTCACTATATGGTTGTAATTTCTTATAGCATATCTTATAGCATCTTTGTCATCTACTATGGTTATTTTTGACTCAATAGGAGATAGAATAGTTTTGCCATAAATGCTGTTCAGAATGAGTTTTATAATTTCTTGTAAGGGGTTTTCTTCTTTCTTATACTTTAACCTTAACTCAAACAACTTCTTTACTTCATCTCTTATTCTCATATCTCTGTTTCCATCGTAATAGTATCCTTGCAACACTTCACATTTGACACCTTGATATTTTATGAGGTCTTGTAATGTTATATGGTCAACATACATGAGACAGCAAGTGTTTGAACTTCTTGGAACGTTAAGTTCTGGATTTAGTTCAGGGTCGCAAACTATTAAATGAAAGTGTCTGGGTATACCAATCTCTGTTATCTTAATGAGAACAAAGAAGCCAGACATAAACTTTTCACCAATGGGTTCCTTTTGGTCGTCATCGAATAAATGTCTCATGAGATACTCTGTGCTTAACATTTCTTCCTTCAATACTTTTGGAATACCTTCTAAAGTATAAAGTCTTGCTATAGCTGAAGGATATAATGAAACAGTGTCGAAGTCAGCAATGAGTTTCTTTTTGCTCTTTTGTTTCATGTTATCTGACAACATACATCTTCCACCTTGAATGCATCTCGAAATAAATTCTCTTGGTTTATTTGAGAGGTCATAAAGATTTCCATTCGGGAAGTATACTCTGTTCTCAAACAATTTGTTAGCAATAGAACAAATACTAACGTAGTCATAAACGTTTAAATCAAACTCTTTCAATAAGTCATTGCGGAACTTTACAAAACCTTCTCTTAAAATTCTTACATCTTGTTTGCAGTAAAACGTGCTATATTTTTCTAAGTCGAAGTGGTTTTCATCTATTCTGCAACCTTTGATGGAATCTATGTTCTTCATAAATGTATCTGCATCATGGATAAACTTACATGCTTCAGAAATGACACCAAGTTCTGTTGTCATTTGCTAACAAAACACTGCTGTAGTAGTTATATGGAAATACTTCTTTCGGTCCTGTTTGTAAGTTAAACATAGCAGGAAATAGTTTAAGCTTCTTATTTATAACACTGTAAGAGTCTTTTATAATAATTGCCCTTCCTTTATATAAACCAGTTATTTGCATTGTTCGTGAACCTTTAATGATGGGAGTTCCTTTCACTTCTGTCATGTGTCTTAAGATGAAGTTTATGTCATAACTGAGGTTATGGAAATATATTAAACTCTTGTCAGGAAGTCTTTCCAAAAATTCTGTTGCACAGTTTTGACCCCAAATACTTTCACTAACTGAACCATCTTCACTGTCATAACAGATGTTAAAAGCTTTATGAAAGCCATCCGTACTACACTCAAAGTCAGCAAAGAAAACGTGCTCAGGTATGAACTTACATTTAGCTTTATTTACTTCTTTTGACTCTGCTTTCTTCTTCAGTTGTACACAATACTTTGGAGCATATGTCAAATCTTTAAATGGTGCAAGGTTCTGTTTATATAAGTCAGTCGTATATGTGAAAAGTTCTCCATAAGAAATAGGTTCAAAATATTTGCACTCCCACAATGTTTTCATAACATCCCATAGCGGTGTAGTTCTATCCATGCGAACTACATATTTATCTTCTCTCTTTGTATATATTTTCATCTGTTTTTCAATGTTCATTCCACCACACTCCTTCAAGATTTCTATATAGTTTCGAATGAAATATGTTGTCATTGGAAGTCTTTCATTTAGCATGTAGTGGTCTTCAACAAGAAGTAAGTCAATAGTTCGAACAGTTTCACATTCTTTTGGTATGTATCTCTTTATTTCATTATGTCTTGAGTCATTGAAGTAACCAATGGTAACATTAAATGCTATACCTGTTGCGTCAGAAATTTCTTGTACTTTACTTTGAGGAAAGTCTCTAACACGAATGACTTCTCTCATGTGGTCAATAGTTTCTTCATTTACTCCAGCCTGAATGCAAGCATAAACGAAGCAGTTATCTTCTGTCATAAGTGTTGCAGTTCTTTTGTTCAGTTCATTGAAGATTTGGTAGCGTTCAAGATTTATAGGTAATGTGCAAAGATACTTCCAGAACTGCCCGCTTCTCTTCTTATAAAACTTCTTTTCACCATTATCTTTCCAAAAGCTTTCTATAAGTGCTGGGTTTCCTGTTTGCTTAAGAGCTTCCAAAATGGCTTTCTGGTCATTTGTCAGTGTGCTTTCATCTCTATATGGTCTCTTTTTTGGTTTGCCTTTCTTTACATCTGACATCGTTAAGCCTTCATATTCTGTTAAATCATACATCTTTATTTCGGTAAGATTCTTTATGTTTGTCAAGAAGAAGTCATAGTGCATTTCAACAATACCTGCAGCATTTGCTTCTATCTCTGATATAAAGTTCTCCTTCAAGAGCTGATGTAGTAATGTTCCAATATTATTGAGGTTTAACGTAGAACATTCATACTTTCCACCAAGTTTATAACATACCATCCATCTCTGTTGGGAGTTTATTTTAATTTTCTCTAAGAGTCTCATGAAAACCTTACCGAAATGTTTGTGTAAGTAGTCTCTGTTTGGTTCATCTAAAGCTTCGATGTTAAAGTCAATGAGTCTATTGCCTGACTTCACATTCCTCTTCCTATTTTCTTCATCTTTCTTTAACCATCTCTCACCTTCTTTTGGTTTGTCGTCAATGGAACGAATGACATTATTAGCTTTGCGAACTTGTTCTATAGCACTTTTAAACATCTCTCTTCTCTGTTGTTTCAGTGTGTCATCTCTCTTTCGTGTTTCACCAACGTTTGCATTTGTTATGTCAAACATTTCTCTTCTTACTTCATGTGGTACAGCTCTTCTTGTTTCACCAACGTTTGCATTTGTTATGTCAAACATCTCTTGACGAACGTCATGTGAAAGAGCTTTACGAGTATGACCAACGTTTGCATTTGTTATGTCAAACATTTCTCTTCTTACTTCATGAGGTATTGAACGTCTATGATATAAGTCAATAGCAACGTCATTTAAAGGAAATGCTCTTGCATGGACTTCGTCCTCGCCGCGTTGCGGCTTTATGAACTCATGAATTCTATCATAAGTTATTTCACCATTATAGTCATTGAGGATGTCAGCGAGTGCCTTTTTGTTTGTTGTGTAATGCTTTGCAACATCTATATTAGCTTCTGTAAGAAGTTGTTTTATTTCCGAGTGTTCTAACTTAGACAACTTCCGATACATCTTTAGTAGGAAATAAAAAAAATATTTTTTGAAAAAATAAACTTAGAAAAATTATTTCTTTCTATATTTGCCATTCCGAACTTCGAAAAGATGTTTTATACCAGCATAGAATTTTTCTCTAGAGCTTGGTCTTATATTGTTTTCATGACAATATTTTCTATATTCTTCATATAAAGCCTTTTTTTCATACATTTCATAAGGACAATCTAACCAGAATAGTGCATATCCAGTTTCGTTATCTAGGTCTCTATATGTTTCTTCTGTTTGTAGAATTTCGCTTTCTTCTATTTGTAGAATTTCGCTTTCTCTATTTAGTTCTATGACTATATATTGTGGCTTAAAAAGATGTGGGCAAGAAGGGTCTGGCGCTATGTAAAAAGTTAATTTTTCTGTCATCTTTTCTATCGGATAAAAAATATTTTTTGAAAAAATTAGATTAGATTTTTTTAAGTTATTTTTCAAAATAATTTAATATTTTTATTTTAATGAAACACATGCAAGATTGCAAGTTCTTTTCATACAATGCTCTCGCTACTGTCATCAAGAATGAGTTCAATAATGCTTCAAACGTCAATGTTATCTTTAACAAGAAGTTTGTGAAAGAATCTAAGTTTGGTCAGTATGTCAGACCATTAGCTATTGTCATTGACCGCAAACGTTATACTTCACAAGAGTTAGCAGTAGTTTTGAAACAAAAGGTTTCTTCGTGAATGTCAAAGATACTCATTATACTATTATAAAGAACTCCAACATTGACTTCTTCAGTATTGCTATGAATCTTTCCGAACAGAAAGAATATAAGAAGGGTGAAACAAATGTGAAATATTATTCTTCATCTCTGAAAACAATAACGAACAAAGATGTTATACAAAAGTTCTTACCAAAGGTTGAAGAAGCTTCTATTGACATTGACGAAGGAAGTGAAATGGTTGAAGAAATTGACCCTGACGTCATTTAAGCAAAAATATATTTTTGGTTAGTCTTCATATCGATATTTTACAACAATTCCCCAATGTATAAACTTTTCATACGCTTTTTCATAAGCTTTATATACCTTCAGAAATTTTGCATAATCTTTAGAAGCATTTAGATATTGTTTAAATGCTTTGTATGTCTTCAGAAATTTTGCATAATCTTTTACATGTTGTTCGTTCTCTTCTTCTGTCATGAGTTCCGAATATTCTAAATTCATGTTCTTTCATATGAGATAAAATTTTATAAAAAAATAAAATTAGCTTAGATTTTTTTATTCTTCCTCTTTGAAGTTATCGAAATATTCTGTTATTTTTTCCTTCAGTAATGTTAAGTCTTCTTTGAATGTAAGTATTGTGCAACCTTTGATGTCATAGTGTGTTTGAGGAAGAGTATTTTTGACAATTTCCTTTATTTGCTCATTCGGTGTCATTGAAATCGGTAAGTTTTCACGATAGAACCAGTTTCTGTCAGATTTGTAAATCTTAGCAAGGTCATAAAAGCTTTTGTTGTTTCTTCTGACTAAATGCAACATAACCATATCTTTATCTTCTTCTTTCTCCAACTCTTCAGTATATATCATATACTTATAACTCTTTTCCTTTCCTTTTGGTACTGAACGTGGTATTCTTTTCTGTATGCTTTTGTCTTTGGATTCAATGACTTCATCTTTTGCTTGAAGTTTCTTTTCCATCTCTCCACGTTCTTGTCTATGAATTTCGTCAAGAAGTCTGTAAACATGCCATGCATAACGAGGAGAAGCCCACATTGCAACTGCATTTACTAAAAGTCTATGAACATAATAACCTCTTAAATTTATTGGCAAATTTTTACGATTTTCATGTGTTTTATGCAAGACCGAAAAAAGTCGGTCTAGAGAAATTTCACTCAAAAGTTCTTGTGTGCTTTGGTTTTTGAACCAGTCGTCTGCGTGTTTAGTGTCTGGAGCAAAACATGCTGTCAAAATACTTTGCATTTGGTACATATCGTCTTTGACCGAACGAATGAGACGGAGTTGTTTGTTAAACTGAACCCACTCGTATTCTTCATTTATGGCTTCATGAACGATAGCAGTTGTTGTGTTCTCTGTTGTTGACATATCTGTCCTTACATACAAAATAAAAAAATAAATAAAAATAAAACTAACTTTATTTTTCTGTGTTAAAGAAATGTTAAAAATTCAGGGTTACATATGTGAAAAGAAGTCACGAACAAATGAAGGTCATAAGATTCAGCACATAATTCTGAATTGAATGGTGTGTCATACATGTCAAGCCGTCAAGAATTGAAGGAGATACGAGGCTATAAAGATTTTGGATATTTTCTGACACACACCCTGAGGGAAAAGTGACAAAACACGACGATAGAAAAAAGTGACAAAATTGAGAGAAAGTTGTTTCCCGACCAAAATGCAATCATGTTGAAAAAGTGACATTTGTAAAGTTAGACGATAGGATTTCCTGAAAAAGTGCAAGACTTGTTCTGAATCAGGACAAGATTTGTCTTGAAAAAATACAAGACTTGTTCTGAAAAAATACAAGACTTGTTCTGAAAAAAATACAAGACTTGTCTTGAATCAGGACAATTGTTCTCAAATTTGAGAACTTTACAAGAAAAACTGACTAAAAAGTGCAAGACTTGTTCTGAATCAGGACAAGATTTGTCTTGAAAAAATACAAGACTTGTTCTGAAAAAATACAAGACTTGTTCTGAAAAAATACAAGACTTGTCTTGAATCAGGACAAAACTTTACAAAATGTAAACTTTACATAACCGTTTCTATCGTACATGATATTTAGTTGACATTGTAAACTATCTTCATGTAAAGTATGGCGGTTTGAAACCGTCGGGAACCTTCACTTTTTTGACGAACTTTCCGCAGCAATTTTTAAAATTTGTGAAAACTCAACGGTTTGACACGTGCCATATGTCATTTTACTCAGAATTTTGTGCTGAATTCAGCAAAAATAATGTTTATGTTAGCATGTTAGATCTAACACGTTTTCTAACCTCTTTTCTAACATAACTATTTACAAGCGTTTTACATGGTATATGTTGCGATGGTTCATGACTTTAAACAGTTTTGTAGCTTCTATTTCTTCTTTTAGTACATCGAATGTTTTAACAATGCCGAAGGTTTCTTTATATTTCTTCTTGACGTCAGATAGAAGGAAATCGTCAGCAGTTGGATAATTTTTGTTCAGAAATGCTAACATGTCCATTTTATCTTCTGCTGGCTTTTCTACTTCTTTCTTTAAATCTGCATAGTCGTTTCTCATTCTTTCTATCTCTTTGACGGAGTAGTTATATTTCCTCATCGCTGCCTTACATTTTGAACATTGCGGGTTCATTTTTGCGTTATACATTGAAATTTGACCTGCTAAAACAACTAAGGCGTCAATTGCTCTCTTCATCTCAAACATAGCGGGTCTTAGTTGTTCGTTCCATACTTTGCCTCTTCTATCTTTATCTCTTATTTCCCAAACACATTCAGCAACTAATGAAACAAAGTTATCGTAGGTCTTAAATTCTTCAGATTTATATATGTCAGAAACATTCTTATAAACCATGTCGCAATCTTTGTCCATAACTTTATGGTTGCAATGAAAACCAAGGAATTCATAATTTACTTTACGTATGAACTTCTTTATTTCTACTGAGTCAGTTGTTTTGACTTCAATTTCGTCGAATTCAGGAATAGTTAGTTTTTGTTGTTGGATTTCAGGCAATTTGGGTAAATGGTCAATAATGTCCTGCATTTCATAAAGATACTGTTCATTTGTTTCATCTTTCGCACTACAGTCTAAATTACTTGTTAAAAGTTCTTGCTTTATCTTCTGGATTTTTGTTTCGAAAGTATATGAAGAAGGAATGAAGCTTTTCATCTCTACTAACATAGATGTTGGATTCATGACTAACGAGTTTGGTGCTGTAGTTTGAATTGTTGTTGTGCCGATTGTTGAAATCATATCTTTACATACAAGATAAAAATTTTTCTTAGAAAAAAATTAGCGTTATTTTTCTTTCATAAGGAAATGTCAAAAATTCATGATTTTCGAGAGTTTTAGACCATGTTAGAAAAGTGGTTAGAAAACGTGTTAGATCTAACATTCTAACATAAACATTATTTTTTGGTGTAAATAAATGGTACCATTAATGATATCATGACTGTTCTCATTCATGTCTGATTTACATCTAATGAAAAAGTTTAGAAGAATTTTCTTATTCTTTCTGGCATATTTTTGTCTTTCCAGTACTCCCGCTCTAATGGTCCCAGATGTGTTGGCTTTGACTCTCTCAAGTTCTTAGATGGTATAACATCTTCAACACCTCCTTCATATCTTACTTTATAAGTGTCATCGTTTATGTTGTAGCCAAGTATTTCAATAACCACTCCTCGCTTTGCTTCGTCAATGGTTTCAGCAAGTTTGCCATTACTACTTTCAACTAACTTATGTCGAGGGTAAAATGCTATGGAGTCGTCAGCAGCTTTTATAAGATATCCATTACCTTGTGTAGAGTCTACGATATAATAGTTTCTACTTAACCTTAAACGTTTCTTTGTCAACGGTTTGTCGTCAAGAACTACACGAACTTTTGTACCAGGAATGAGGGTAAATTGTGTTGAATTTCTGATATTTTGTGTTTGGCTTCGTTTCTTTTGTATATACTTTTCTTCTTGTTGTTGTGTCATTGAATTTGGTGTATGTCCTGTTGTAGAATGTGTTGAGGAATTATATACTTCGAGAAAATGTTTCATTGTTTCTTCGGTAAAGTCTCGCTCTTGATTTAAATCTCTGAGCGTTCTTATGAAGCGGTTTATGATGCCGAGTATGTTATGGTTATGGTCTTCAGTAGTGTAGTGAGTTATGTTATGCTTAATGAGAAATTCTGTGATTTCATTGCTGAGGTATGCACTGTCTTGGTCTGATGTTAAAGTACTTGGGTTATGTTCTGCTACAAACTTTTGTAAAACTCTTAACACTTCACGAGTTCCTTTATTTTTCATTGGATATGCATATGCTTTACGAGTGTTAACATTTATGAAGATGAGGAATGGTTTATGTCCTCCTTTTCTGCTTTGAATGAGAGTGTCAAATTGGTATGCGTCAGGAGTGTTGGAGTAAATTGGTAAAAAGTAGTCGTAAGGGTTTATTTTTGTTTGATGTACAACATTTTTGTCAAAGAACCTTTTCACTTCAGCTCTGTTAGTAAATCCCCAACTCTTTGCAGCTTCATTGAATTTCTTAAATGACCTCCATGGATGTTGTTCGAATACTTCTTTCAAGCTCATTTATGTAAAGTTAAAGATTTTAACCAACTCGTATCCAAGCGTGCATTGTTATATAAGGAGGCATATAATCTTTTCCATTACCTGCTGGGTCTGTAATACCAGCTACAACATGTGTATGATTTCCTGCAGTTCCACAGAAAATACCTGTGCTAACATCTTTGGGGTCAGTTGTGATATCATATCTATGCATTCCCTGTCTATCCGAACCCGCTGCAAGATTTGTATAACCTCTTTTTGTTATTGAATGTGAATGGTTTCCTTCCACAGATGTTCTTCCACTGAACCTATGCATATGTGAAGGAAGGTTTTCAATACCTATTTTCTTTGAACCTCCCATCTTCATTGACTGAGTATTAGTGTAGAATGGAAAACTGTCAACTATTTCATACCATCTACCACCAAATAAAGTGTTTGGATTTATTGGATTCATAGACGTATAAACAGCTCCTATAGGATATATTAAATCATATATGCTCATAACTCTATAAACATATTCTAAAGAACTTATGTCATTAAATACCATTTGGAATGTATCTCCCGGATGAAATGTTGCATTTGTTCCACTTTTATAATGTAATGTTAGTTCAAATTACCTCCTTCAAAAAAGTATCCTTCAAACACAATCTGCTCGGTTTGTGACGACTTCCCGTAAAAGGTTTAGTGTCAAAAGCAGACTCTGACCCATTAGCTAACGATCATAACTAAAGTCAGACTATTACCACTTAACTGTAGCAATACTTATGCAAACATGGCGTTTTCCACTGCTTGTAAGACTCTACCTAAAACGTTGACTCATTAATCTGGACTTCGTTATCTTTCAAGGTTTCTCACGCTATGACAATTGAAAACTCATCTTGGAATAACAGTCATGTTATAACAATTACCTTTTTGAAGAAAAAAAAAAAATTTTTTTTTTCAGAGGGGGGAAAGCATAAAAGTCTCTTCATCTCTCCTCTCATACCTCAGATTTCATATCCATGGACTAATACCATTAAGCCAAAAAACATTCCATGGAACGACCAACATTGTTTTAAAGTTTAACCTTCAATGACTGATGGTTAAAACAAAATTCCATGCATCCTGTCGCATTTCTGTTAATATTTTTGCTTCATTCATATCATCACCTTCCCCATCCGTTTTAGCTTTGAGGATATGTGTTAGAATAGCTGTTCTTTAAATGAAGGCTTTTCACCTTTGAGAAGCATAAACCTTCTATAACTCTCTCTTGCATTTGACTTTATTGTTTGTAACCTCCTGAGCATCATTGACATAAAATTTTTTTATTTAGGTTCCCACCCTTTGTTCATTATTCCTGCTTCGTTTCCTTGTAATTTTCTTGTACTTCCCTCTAGCTCTTTGTTAAAACAGTAGTCTCTAGCATCTTTATACACAGCTCCTGTCTCCAGTGAATTCAACAATATTTTCATTCGTTTACTTTACTATTTCAAAACCCCTCTGGTCGAGCTATATCTGTTCATTTCATACAATATAAAAAGGTTTTTATTCTATTATGAACATGAGAAGCAAAATCCACTTTCTTAGCTGGTTGCCGTTAAGTTCCAATTGAACAACCATCAAAATGTTGACTCACGAACGGACAAAAGCAATATGGTCATAAAGAACACTGATAGTTTCAGAGGTGTTTGAAAGTGAAAAAGAAGCCAAGAACTTTAAGTCGGCGACCTTCGGTCTTGGGCATGGCGCCGTGAATTTATAACTTCAGCTTCCAATACGCTAACGCCTACATTGCAATGTTAAGTTAGAGTACTCCACCACTTGACCAAATTTCTTTCCAAAGAAAGAAA